TTAGAACATGAAATAGCACATATATGATTGTGCTGGTATTATATGTTCTCCTCTGTACATATTTTCTCTTGTTTAGCAAGATTACCTCCAGTGTTTCTCCGAAAGTATAAATTTGGCTCTTAATATAGATGTTCTTAATATTTAAATGTATACGTTAAGGTTTTACTCCTCTCCTTCTAGTATGCCGACAGTATTATCAGTAATGATGTTAGAGTTTTATTAATGCCTTTTCCCACATTTGGCAGGACCATCAAGTGATTTTTCTTTATCGTGAGTTACGCTGAATCATTTCAATGATAAAGAAAATCATTTCATTTCAGTAGGTTTGCTAATGGTAAGCCCTCTCCGATTTAGTCATGGAACACTGTCTGTTTAATGTGCATCTCCATTCAGTGTTAACAGTGGTTATTCGTGATGGGTAGGTTAGGGCAGGTTTTTGCGTTCTTATCTGTATTTTATGATTTTCCTACAAGGCTCATATATTGCTTGTATAGTAGAAATAAGAGCTTTATAATAAAGATATTCGGGACTTTGCCCATATTATTTCAGAATTTTTCATATATTAATAGATATATAGATATAGCTGTTTCTGTTCTTTGGTTTAAGTGAACAGCTTTAAAAACAACAACAACTTGGGAAACTCTCTTTTTTCTATGCCCTGGAATGGTTTAAATAATAAAAAATCCTAAATGGTTTTAGGATTTTTGCTCCTTGAAGTTTTTATAACATATTTAAAATTGTCCGAGTCTAGTGCCTTTTTAGGAAATAACCTTTGACAATTTTTCTGGTGTTTCCCACGCTCATTGGTCCCTTCGCACTTCCTTCCTGTTCCGTCAGTTTGGGCCATTTAAACTTCCCAAACAACGATTCTGTCAGGATCGTTATTTTCAGACTTGCTCGCATGAAGTTGCTGTATTTCCTGTTCTCATTTCTCACGTTGGGCGTCCTGCCTTCCTTTCTTCCGATGAGTTTTTCCGGAATTAGTCTGTTTTTCTAGAAATTGTAAGGCTACGACTTTTCTTCTGAATACTTCTTTAGACACACCCCTTACATTTTTAGGTGCGGTATGGTAAATAATTTCAGATTCTACTTTATTTTTTACTGAAGAGATATTTGAAATTATACTTTTTCATCTCCCGACAGGTCAGTATTTGTTGTTGTTGCGTTAGTATTTGCTATCAATTTCTAGCTTGACTGCCCTGCTGTCAAAGAGGGTACGGCCTGTACAATTTCTGCATTTGGGAGTTTATTTATGTTTTCTTAGGACCAAACACAATGTTAATTTTAATAAGTATTCCCAGGAAACTGCAAAAGAAGGTATATGCTCCGAAGGGAACACAATTCAACCTATATATATTTCTTTGATCTTATTAAAATATTATAATATTATGGGCCTTTGATTTTTTTACTCACTTGAGTCAGTAAAAACTAAAGAAGGTATGTTAATCCCCCACTTCTATTGTCTTTCTGCTTCTCTTGTGTTTGTACAGTTTTTGCTTTGTGTGTTTCGGTATGATGTTATTTGGCAAATTCTCTTTTTATATTTAAGGGGAAAAAATTTTTTTTCCTTGAAAGCCTTGTATACCTTTGTGAATTTTACCTGGTTTTGTTGTAACAGTTGTTTATGTTGAAATACACGGTTCAGTAACATGTTTGTGCCTCTTTTTAAGTCCACAAAAATCTTTCAGAACCCTTTGTGTCTTAAGAAGACATCGTGAAGGCTCTTGGTCTCCCCCGGGTAGGCGGGTGCTCCCCGGGCTGGCCATGCGGGTGCAGGCGCTGGGCCTTAGGAACGGGATGCGGGGTTGTGAGTTCATAACATCCTCGACTCCTGCTTTGGGGCAGCCCCATGCTCAGGTAAAGCTTACGGGACACCTGCCCTTCAGCTGGTCACATTCTGTCTCCTTGAGGCCGAAACCTAAACCTTTCTCAGCCCAAGAGGGATTTTCTGCCTCGGGTGTCTTCCATGCAGAAGACAGGAAGAGGGTGTGCCTGTGTTCCTGGCTCTTGAGGGAAAAGCTCATCTCGGAGGCTCCTTCTTCCAGAAGAGAGTTTTCCAGATTATTCGAGTGGCAGAGTCTGTGCTAGGCAGAGAACCAGCTTTTCCCAAACACATGTAGGAAGTGTGATTCTCATCCCACTGCACAGGAGTGAAAGAAATAAGGTCTTCTCCATTTTCCCTTCATTCAAGTTCATGTCTGTTCCGAGCCACGTTCTCCCAGGCTCATGCAAGCTGATCTCAGTCAATTCTGAGACCCTCTTTTCTCCAGTTGTGAGTCTTCGAAGGTTCTGGGGACCTTACATATTCCCAAGGTGCCAGGGGGCGGGGGCTTTGTATCTACTGACATGTCTCCTCTTCCCGCTCTTGCCCTGGCCAGGCTCGTCCTCTCCACCAGCGAGCTCCAGAGTGCAGGGACCCCTCAGATGTTCCCCCACTGCAGAAGTCCCCATGGGGCTGCCCTGGGCCCCGTCTGCAGCACCCTGGGTGGAGGGTGATTCGACGCACTTTGTGTGCAGCAACTCACACAGCCTCGTGCCTGTCACTCTGGTTACCATGTTCTCTTCCCACCAGCACCGCCCCCACCCTCTTCCTGGTCTTCTCCTCCCTCCAGGATCTCCTCCGCCTGCGGGCTCTACTTGTGTAAAGCACCCGAGGCCTCTACCTAAAGCTTGGGACAGATCGGGGTGCAGCCCCATCTCTCCCGTCCTTCACCCTCTCCTGCCCCGTGAGGCCACCCCAGGCACGTCCCCAAACCACTCCTGCCCAGCTGTCTCTTTTCTCTGTGCTCCTTCTGCTCCTGCCTTTCCCAGGCCTGTAATCCTTTCCCAGCTCCAGCTTCCTTCACCTTTAGGATTAAAATCAGCGCTGCCCAAAGGCCTTCTCCAATGCTTCTTACACAGCTCGTACACACTCACAGCTCTAAAGGTTTAATTTGTTGTCCATTTCATAAATGTTTCTGGAGCACATTTTGGCCCTGGCTCTGGGAACACAAAAGTCCAAAGACAGAGATCATTTCCACAAACCTATGACCTTCCGGTGGAGAGGAGAGATGCCGTGTTGCAGGCGGTGATGCCGTGGGGGTTGGTTTGTCGCCCTCAAGCAGGGGGCTCTCCTAGGCAGCCAATAATAGGGCCAGAGCGCAGCCCACCTCCTCAGCGCTGGGGTGACCTCAGGCACTCTGAGGACCTTGTGGGACATCGGCTGCAGGGCCCGTACCTTGGGAGGAGCCTGTGGTGACTCCGAGGACCCCGGCCTCCCTCGTCCCTGATCCCCGCCCCTTCGTGGGCTGCCTGGCCTGTGTATAATCGTGATGTTCTAAGGGGCTTCTGCAGGCCAGCGGTTCCAGAGCTCTCAGGGCTCGTCAGCCCATCTCAGGAAAAACCTCCTGGATTAGGACTCGCAGTCCGGGCCTGCCAGTGTGCAGTCGAACAAGCCCCTCATGCCAGACAGGTCGGCGGCCCCTCAAAGACGCCCACATCCTCATCACCTCGGACCTACACAAAGGTAAGGGAATAAACGGGTGTGGTTTTGAGCCTCTAAGCCTGTTATGGTAGCAATTGGAAACCAATTTGCTCTTCACGAGTTGACACACCTACGACTTGAGAACTTCTTTGGTGCAAATTCACTCAGCTACACGGTTCACATGACGGGAGGTCATCAGTCAGACACCTGTGGGCTCCAGCCCCTGCCGCCGCCTGCTTCATTCCCCAGCCCACCTCCTGGAGAGGGAGCCGGTGAATGACTGAGTCTGACGGCCCCGCTCCTCCTTCTGCCTCCAGGACTGTCGGTAGGATGCTGCTGGTTACAGCCTGGCTCTCCTAGGTCCGCTTTGTCCATGGGGCCAGTCCCAGAGCTATGGGTGCGGAGGCAGCGTGGCTGGAGACCAGGACAAGGTGGGATCAGGGCAGAGGTGGGAGAGGGAGAAGCTGGGGGATGAGGCCAAAGGATGGTGTGGATTTGTTGGGACCTGGAGGCAGGGGCTGAGGGTGTCCCAGGCACTTAGGTTCCGTCGGCAAGTCCCTCTGGAGCAGGTGGCAACCGGCTCGGTGTTGCTGGAGTGGAAACCCTGGGGGGAGGGGAAGGGGCCGCTGGGGACAGCAGCCAGGCCTCAGGTAGGGTCCACCGTACTGAGGCACCATGGCTGTAGCCTGGGGGTGACTGGTTGGGGCAGTGAAGGCAGCACCATGGGGGGGGGGGTCCAAGGGGGTGGAAGGTACACGGTAGGAGACAGACTGTCCCCTCTCCCTGGCTCTGAATTGCGTGTGATCAGAGTCTGGACTGACTTCAAAGCTTGGCGAGAAAAAGCGGGGAACAGGGAAAATGAGGGAGAGAATGTTCCGCAAAGGGAGCTGTTTTGATGCATAAGACACGGTTGAGCCAGGAGGTCTAGTTGGGAGACTCACTTTTGAAAAGGGTCATTTTTTTTTAAGGCTTCTCATCTTTGGCAGAGCCTCGAAAGCCCAATCTGAGAATCTGCCGCGCCTGAATGAGCTCTCTGGTGTCTCAAAATACCGAATTTTGATACTTAAAGGCCTGACAAAGTGCTGATTCTGCCATTTGTAAAAATACCCCCGTCTTTCCAGGGAAATGTTCTGGGTCTAAGCTGGGCCCGTGTGTGGTGGGGAAGGCGGCCTGGTATACAAACACCCACCTTGCCCTTGGGGTCTGGACCGCAAGCCTTGTGGGAACCCAGATCGCCGTGGCCACGTGAGGGCGCCCAGGTTGGTGGTGACGCTTTGGGTAGTTGAGAAGTGTGTGTCCCGCCCTTCCTCTCTCCTAATTTTAACACAGAGCGAGGAGGGAAAAGGCCCCCAGTGGGAGACTTCAGTTTTGACGGAACAGCACTCCCTGCCCCCCTTAGTATTTGCTTAAACCAATGTTTAGCTAAAACCTCACTAAACCCTTTACCCTCCGCCCCTGTGGGGGGGGGGGCCTGTGCATTTCACAGTCAATACTTCATGGTTTCATTTCCTCATGAGCGACACTGATACATTATAAATAGTTCTTCATTAGGAATTTATAGAGTGTCTGATACATAAAATACATTTCATTTAAAATAATTCCTGAATATAAGCAATGTATTCCAATCATTGCTGAAGCGACGTTCACATTCGAGCGCTTCGGTGGGAGGAAGCTGCGCCGGCACACCCGGGACACGCCGTCTCTGGCAGTGCGACTCACCGACTAGAGGTGTCTCAGGACGAGGGAGTGACTCGAGAGCATCCACGGGGGGAAGAGAGGTCACTCTCTTGGGCCAGCCACACGGACTGTGGGTTCTTAGACCCCACAGATGCAGTTTGGTGTGTGCAGTTCTCCACTTCTGTGGGCTTTCTTTCTAAATTATTTACTTTTAGAGAGAGGAGAAGGGAGGCAGAAACAGAGGGGGAGAAATGTCCACCACTAGGGACCTGGTCCACAACCCAGGCAGGTGCCCTGACCGGAAATCGAACCTTTTGGCTCACAGGCCGGCGCTCAGTCCACTGAGCCACTGCAGCCAGGGCTGCATCCGGGGTGGGAAGGGCCACAGCATTAAATCGCAGCTGCGACATCACACCCAGCCCTGCCGCCCATCAGGTGTCATATGGCCAGTCCGCCCCGTTCACATGCTTTCCAAGAACAGGCCTTGGGCCCCTGTGGCTTCTCTCCAGCCCACAGTGCAGTGCTCTTGGCCTTGCAGTAGAGCTTAGTGGTCCCACTCACTGGGGCCACCCTCCTCCTCCTCATCCTCCTCTTCTGAGTCAGCAGACACTCTCTTGATTCTCTGGAGCGCAGCCTTGATGCTCCTCTCCAGGTCACTGGTGGGCTCACTGCTGGGGCTCAGGCCGACCTTCACCTCAGGGTGAACCTTCCGCAGTTTGACACCCTGCCTGATGGCAGCCAGAATGTGCTCATTGACTGAGGTGCAAGGAGGGGCCGCGGTGGGGGCTTCCGCCTTCTGGACAGGGGGTCTGTCCCGCCGTAAGGAGGCCAGCACTTCATCCATAGACCCTGAAATTGAGTAAACAGAGCAAGTACTGTCGAGAATGCATACTCTTTCTCCCCAAGACGCCGGGACGTTTCTGTGTGAGTTAAAGGTGTTCAGGTCACATCGGCTAACGTCATGACTTAAACAAATGACCATCACTGCATTAAATGCACGTTTTCATTATCTGCTAGAAAGGTCAACCACACGTAAGCCCCCTGTGAGAGGCTGGCATGGCTCCATCGCTAGTGTTTTATCGTAAGCACCTATTTTCCCCAGCCGCTCAGAGGCGCAGCCATGACACCTGTGTTACATTGGACGCGGGGACACTCTCCTGTGACCCCGGAGAGGCACGTGCCGGGTGTGAACAGCCTGACCCCACGTGCAGGACTTAGGTGCCTCTGACGTTCCATCTCCTCCATTTCCCTCCCTTTAAAACACGTCTGCTTAGAACATGCTCCCCGCTGCGTGTCTCCAGCTGCAGTCTTGGGTGTTAGTCAGTGATGACTAAGGAGTCAGTGTGACAGTGAAGCGGGCAGGTTTCCCCACAAGGAAAGACTTTACAGGGAAACTTGAATCAGCAGCTGCGTGAGCCCGCGGGGGTGGCGCTGGCCCGGCTCCCCGTATGTGATGTCTTTGATTCCACCTACGTTCCCCCGAGGTAATTTACATGCTGTGTTCTCGGGGGTGTGAAATGCTGTCAAAACACAAATTAGATCAGCGTTTCAAAGCCTCGGAGAGCAGAAGCTATTTTTCACCCTGGCACCTTGAGACCCCCTGTGCAGGGAAATCTTTTACCACCTGTGGGAGACAGGGGCATGACTGTGGCCACTGACGTAGAGATCGCCCGGGAAAGGAGTCAAGATAAGTAGTCCTTTCCAGCTCAGAATTTAAGGTCATGCGATAGCTCACAAAACACTATCTCACTGTGGACTGAACGCTGTAGCTCTTGACTGCGATGCTCCCCTAGGAGTATGAAGGTGGTTTTATGGTAAAGGGTGTTTTTGGTGTTCGCTGTACTGTATTTGCAAGGTAGAAAATGGGCCGCTATTCTTTTTTAACCACTTCATCTTAGAACGCTCTCCCCTGGGAAGGTTCCCCAGTCTGCCCGTCAGTCTGCAAGAAGAGTCCTGCACATTCGGACGGACGTTCCTCTGTAATAACTCCTAGCCAGCCTTCTGCTGAAGATGCAACAAGTTAATTCTGCAAAGGACTCAGAAACGCAACAGCAATTCAAAGCAACCTTAAATAAATATGCAAATGGCAGAAATCGAACACACACTGAAGCCCTAAGAAACCTGAAATAGGCTGATTCTGTAACAGCCTCAGTGCTCCTGAGTCATGTGACCATTAGATGTGCAGAGATGGTTGTTCGAAGAAGGTAGCATTGATCAACCTGATTTAGGCTACACGAACTTTGCCCCCACCAAAAAGTACCGTTTAAGGAAGCAAACAGTGGAATAGTTTAAGATTGCAGAGAATTTTGAAAAAGCATTTGATCTGAGGGGAGCAGGCACAGAACTCGGGCGGATTTACCTGGGCAGTTAAAACCGTCTGAGGAATCCTGCGGCCTTTCAGCAGGTGATTCACATACTAGAGGACGTGGCTGATCATCTTTTCCTGAAGTCCGGACGTGTACATTCAGATTCCGATGATTCGCAGATAGAGAAGAGGGCGCAGCAGGGAAGAGTGGAGGTGCTGGCGGAGGCGGCAGCGGTGGTGGTGGTGGTGGCGGTGGTGGTGGTGGAGGGGGAGGAGGGGGTGGTGGGGGTGACAACTCCTCACTGGATTTGCGGTGTGTCTGGTCACCTCCCTGAACAGAAATCTGGACAGGGACATTTCCAGGGCAGTCTTGAGACCTGGGGGTTTTCGTGGTCCTGACTTCGGATAAGGGAGCACTTCTGGTTTTCTTGAAGGACGGAGGCATTACCGCCTTTGTTTGAGAAGGCGGCGAGGAGGTCTGCTGGGGAAGGTCACCCGGCAGGTTTGCAGCCTCAGGTTCTGAGCAAGGGGACCAACCTGGACGTTTCTGAAAACAGAAAACTGTTGTGTGAGAAACTTGCCACAAATGCAAACTATCAAACTGCTAGAACTTTCTATAAACAATGAACACCGAAGAGTTTATCAGCTCTGGCTGTGACTCAGTGGATGGAGTGCCGGCCTATGAACCAAAGGGCCGCTCTAGATTCCCAGTCAGGGCACATGCCTGGGTTGCGGACCAGGTCCCCAGTAGGGGGCGCACAAGAGGCAACCACACATTGATGTTTCCCTCTTACTCCCTCCCTTCTTCTTGTTCTAAAAATAAATAAAACATTAAAAAAAACATAATATTTTTACTATGAAAAATCAGAAACTAAATGTGAACAATAGGAAGTTAGCTGGAAAAATTATAATGAGTTAATTTAAAATATTAGGCAGCCATAAAAAACATAAACAGTGCAGAGTCAGTGAAACAGGCTGAAAAAATTAAGAGGATGCGCTATTCAGTTTACAACCATGGGAAAAACAGATCTGCGAACAAGACCAGCAGAATGGACCTCAAAATGAGAGGTGTCACAGGAATTATGGGTTTCTTCTCTCTCATTTAGGCTTAGAATACAGCTTATCATTTAAAAAACTCGAATTTAAAAACAACTCGTCCGGCTCCACAAGCACCACACACGCTGTGATTTCATTTCCGGTCCTTCTGCCCGTCCGCCCTACATCCCAACTGTGCTCAAACGGCCTCTGTCCCCTTCAGCTGTGGCACTTCTCGGTACACAGAGAATTCCCCGTCCACAGAGGATGCGACTGTTCTTTCTACAACCTCATGCATTTTTCTGCAGCTTCATCAAGTGCTTCACATGCAACTGAAGGCAGGTTCTTGTCCCTACATTTAAATCACACACACATTCCTTCCTACCACCCCCTGTAAAAGTATATTTTTAGATCCAAAACCCTGCAACTTAAACCAATTTGAGGTCAACTGGTTAGAATTAAAACTCATTGTACCCATTTGCTGACACCTTAGGCGGCCTGATTCTGTCCACTGAGGTCAGGTGCTGTCTAACCTGTCACCTTCGAACCAGCTCTACTTGGAACTGACCCCTGATCGGACTGGTTCGGGTCTCGGGAGCTGGACTTGCGTTCCTCGGATCCCTTCCTCTGCGCAGATGCCGTTCACTACGCCCCCTCTGGTGGCCGCTCACCAGCCAGTTACTGGCTCGTTTGCTCTGCGTTGGGCTGGTCTTCGGGTAGTTCCCGGGCAGTGCATTCTCCCCGCCTCCACTCCTGCCCAGGCCCCCGGCCAGAACGTCTGGGGGTGGGTCCGGGCATCAGGTCCCCAGCTGCTCCTGAAGTGCTGCCCCGGTGTGGGTTGGACAGTCCCTGCCGGGGCTCTGGGGTCAGAAAGACCTGCTTCTGTACATCCTGTGTGACCACTCTGAGCCTGGTGGGTCGTCTATGAAGTGGCGAGAGGCTATCTTACAGGGTCGTTTTAAAAACCAAAGGAGAACGTAAGTGCCTAGCACCGTGCCTGGGACGTGGCAGGCACCTGATAATGGTCGGAGCAGTTAAGTGTCCCAGAAAGAAAGCTGACCTTGGAGTGACACGGTGTTTCACTCCAGGGACCCCTCCTTGGCCTGTCCCCGTCAGGCAGACGCTTCCCACGCTGTGTGGCGCGGGCTCGTCTGGAGCGGGCTCTTTTCTCTCTGGGGACACCAGTAAATGTGTGTCTTTGTGACAGTGCCTCTGGGGATGTGTGATGAGAACAAGTTTATGTTGTACATTCGCCAAGCTCAATGTTATTTTTAAATAAGTAACTGTGTGCTTTTTTGAAAAAACGTATTCAGGTTTAATAGAGCACTTAACCACACTTATGTCACAAAGGTTCCTTGATTGCATTTTAAAAAATTCTTTCTCGCAGATGAGGAGGAAGCCAACTCCAATCGAGGGTGATGTCGCTGTTTTCCACCTTCCCTGCTAGTGGGCACCGGGGCGGGCAGAGCCAGCACCACGAGGGAGGGGAGGGCGTGCGGCAAGGTCAAAACACCTCCTTGTTCTACTGTTGCTGGCTCTTATTTATATGCAAAAAATAATGGCATTTGGGGAACATTTTGTGTCCCAAACAATCTGTTCCTAATGCTTCATCCTCTTCTCCAAGGATGAGTGATCTTGACTTATTGCTTCAGAAAACGGAAGCAAGGCAATTAGTGCTGGGCCTTACCTGCTTAAATGCTCTCAACCGCTGCAGGGTCTTCTGGCGTTCGTGGTTTATCCATTCTTTTTTCTTCTGCTCCTCTTCTTTTAACTTGTCTCTTTTCTATATTTAAACCAATAGACATTTCCTTAAAGTGAGAGTCTCGAGAGAGAAAGGGGCCATAACCGGACACGATCGCCGCCCCCTCCCCCATCACCACCTCCACGGTGCCCTCAGGCCTGGGCCCTGGCATCTGCGCCGTTAAGCCAGTGTGTCACGTTATGCCAATGGAAAATAGTTTTCTTTAGCAACTCACCATCTGAATACTATGGTGCTGATGAAAATATCTCACACTTTCTTCAGCCTGTTGTAATCGGAGCCGATGATTTTCTTTGCATTGATCCTGGTGGAATAATACCAGTCACCTACAGGGTTTTTACTCTTACCGTGGGCTACCGCGTACAAGGTTAAGAGGAGAAAGCACTGTGTTTGGGCTGCTGTGTAGGGCATTTGTGAACCGGGGTTCCCGGAGAGGCCCCGTGGTCCTGCCACCTGCTCAGCCGTGTGTTGAGGGGCTGACGGGCTCGTTTGGGAGGCCATTGGCCCCCATCGGAAGGGCCACAGAGTTAGTGCTTCGGGAGCTGAAAAGGGGAATTCTCTGACCAAGGGCAAGTGAGAGAGGACACGCGTTTCCTCACAACGTTACAAATAGTCGTTATACTTCCAAACATACCTACCTAAGCATGTCCAACCTGCACATACCTGAAAAATTACATTAAAAACAGTATTTCGATGATGCTTAACCATTCTTAGCGTGTCACCTTTTTATATAATCATGGAGTGACTAAGAAAAAAATCACCAAATATAAGGATTGAAATGAGCTAAATATTATCTCTGATTTTATAATCTACAATTTACACAAAATGTTAGAATTCCCTATACCTGATTATTAGAAGTTTTACTTACTGTGACTTTAAAATACCAGTGTATGTAAGAGGCATTCAACAAATAGCTATTGAATGAATTAAAATCTGCAGATTATGCTAAATGTTTAAATACGGTAAGAAGCAAAGAATCACTTTAAGGAAAAAAACTGTTAATACGTTGTAATTGCAGCTACTGGCATCCGTATCAATGCAGAGAAAATAAGCTCAAAGCCTTATCTTCGAAACCTCTTTATCTTTCATGAAAGAAGAACTGCCTGGACGGGAAGGACAGAGAACCGTCTGGCGCCCACCTTCCTCCTCCTGAGGTCGGCCCTCCGGGCGCAGATCCTGCCGCGCTTCCGCTCCAGCTGCTGGCACCGCCGGCGGAGCTCCCCGGTCTCCACCTTCCTGTGGTCCTGCTGCCCCATGACTTGATCGATGACTTTCAGTTCCTCTGGACTTTCACACGGGTCGTAATAGACCACTTCATCCTGTTTATCTAAAAAGTATTTAAGGGTTGTAAAGGCGTGTTTTATTATGAGAATAAGGCATAAAACTTTTTAAATGTAGGGAGAGTATAGATCATGTGGCATCCCACCACCCACGGAGGACCACCGTTAACATTTACGTGTGCGTCCACACACACACAGCTGCTCATGTCAATGAACGGTTCTAAGAGAGCATTTTCTACATAATGAAAATAAAATTTTAATGGCAACACAGTATTCTCTAATTTAAACAGGCTCTGTTGTTATAATGTTCCATCGTCAATGTCACTGTGAACACCTCTGAATATAGAGCTTTGTGTCCATCTCTTATCACTTCCTGAAACAGGGATATTGAAGACTCTTGAAACTACAGTCAAGTTGCCCTCCGGAAAGGCCACTGACATTCTACCCACAGGACATTAATAAAGGCTTTAACTCTGTATCATCTTGATTACATACTGATTTTTTAAAAATACATGCATGCTAATTGTTAACAAATTCAAGCCCTAGAGAAGCACAGTAAATAAAAAGTGAAATTTTTCTTCTTCCTCTCCCAAACCTTTGGAATCCCAACCCAGAGAAAAACATTAATAAATTGGCATGCATCCTTCCAGATTAACTTTTTTAAATAAGATTTTCCCTAATTATGTAAAATGCTTACAACCTGAAACTGTTATGAAGTTTTCTGAATTCTTAAGATTAAATGAAATGTGCAGATCTATACAAAAAAATTGTTAATCTGGTAAAAAAGACACAAGTAAAGGGAGAAACATACCATGTTCTTGGATGGGAAGACTCAGAATTGCAAAGATGACAATTCTCCCCCAGTTAATGTCTAATTTTAAGTGCAATCCCCATAAAAATTCCGAGCTTTGTTTTTGTTTATTTGTTAGTTTGTTTTGAACTTGTCAAAAGGATTCTAAAGTTCATCTGGAAGAATAAAGGAGAAGAGTCAGGAAGCTTGTGGCACAGCAGAGGGGTGAGGGAGGGACACGCTTGACGGGGCACTGAGACGTGTCTCCGAGGTACAACGGGAAGAGTGCGGCACCCGAAACCACTCACAAACCAATAAAGGAAAGTCACAGCTGCAGACTGATCACAGTGAATACAGTGATGCTGGATGTGAGACAGGCAGAGTCAAAGCAGCAGTGACCGGGGCTGCCCGCGACTTGGGCAGAGATGTTCGATTCCTACCCCACGTCAAAGTAAACTTCACCTGGATTAAAGAGCTACATGTTCCCTTAAAAATCAGAAAAATACTAAAAGAAAGAAATAAGTGAACTATTGACACAATTTTGAGACAAGGAGGACTTTGCCAGGCAGGCTACCAAAAGCAAAAACCCTAGATTCCTTTGCCAGATGTAACACAGAAACAGAAAGGTGGGGAGATGGGACTTCGTGATAACCAAACGTTTCTGCAAGGCAGGAAAAAGCAGACAACGGGCAGCATTCGTTTGCAACATCTGACGAATGACAGAGTGACACCGTAACATGTAAAGGAAACACGCAAAGACCACAGGCACTGAGTTTTTAAAAATGGCCAGTGATCCTACAAAAGTGAGTTCAACGTCACTTGTAACTGGAAGAAATGAAAATTACAAAATGCCTTTTCTTCCTATCACTTAGGTGAGAATTTAAAAGAACGGGCAACATACGGAGAAGCAGGTATTTGCATCATCTGCTGATGGGCGTGGCACTTGGCACAGCCTCCCTGGAGGGCTGTGGTGTATGGCAGGAGGAAATTTAGAAATGTGAAAATATCAGAGGGGAGGGAAAATGCGCATCAAGTGATTGCTGTTGTGTTGTTTTGACACGTTTGTCAAATGTAAATCTGGCGTGGCCCTTGACCCGCTCGCTGACCTCACCCTGAGAAACCCGGTCCAAGGAGAGGATCTGCCCCGCGCCCCAACCCGTTTGCAGGACGCCTCTGCGCTACGCTGCTGTTCACAACAGTGAAAGGCTGAAAATCAGTCGGTGCAGCCGGTCCATGGAATACTATGCAGCCATTAAAATTTTGTGAAGGTTTTGTTTCTTACTGAGGTGGGATGACAGTTATGAAGTACTAAAGGAAAAAGAGGGTACCGAACAGAATATATAGCTTTAATTAAAAAATTGATATCTATATGCAACAGGCCACAAAGCTAATCAGCAAATTGTTATCGCTAAGCATGTCCACCCGATGGAACTGAATTATTAAAGGTTTTCCTTTATTTTGCTGTATGTTTAACAAGGATTATATTTTTGAATAATAAAATACTTAAGGGAAACTAGGAAATTTCAGTAGATACTTCAGACAATTTACAAGAAGCAATTGATAATAAGGTCTGTACTTCCTTGAATGTATAACTTAAACATTTTTATATATATTTTAAATATAAATTTTACCTTTTATAAGTCTTTTAACAGAGTCCAACTGTGTGGTAAGTAGGATTTCTTCATATTTTAAGATCTCAAATTTAACGTCGTATAGTTCTAACTGAACTTCATAATATTGTATTTCTAGTTCATCTACAACATTTATATTTTTATCTTGTTCTGGAAGATCTTCCATCTTGTTTTCATGAAAAAAAAATAAGAGCAAGTTAAAACATTTAGCACCTTAAAAGGAAACTTTCAAAGCATCTCAGCTATTTTCTATTCTTCATGCAGCACCACATATAAAAAAGCAAACCAAGAAAAAACACTATTTCATTTAATGAGACAAAAACGTCCCATTCAACATTTTTACAGATACTTTTATCTGTAAACACATGGGCACATTCAGGTGTTGGGAAATCAGTGTCACTGAGGCCTTTGCGGTGTTTTCTGCTCTGAGGTGGTGACTGTGCAGGAAGGTGCACAAGCGACTGAGATCCGAGGGTGAAGAACCTCTGATGATTCTCAGGTTCAGCTGAGCATGGCGCCGGGTCGCATTCACAGTGTACCACCTTCTTCAGCACTGAGCACAATGCCGTTACCACGTGAAGCCTACAACACGGTATTGCAAAACCATCTCGAGCAAATGGGAACTTCATAGCCAATCTGCCCTGGTCTGGAAACTCGCATCTATTCGAAGCTGGGGTTGGACTAGGACAGGAAGCTCTTCGGCAAGGGCTGGAAGGAAAGACGCTATCTAAAATCAAAGCCTGTTTCTGATGCAAAGTCACCCAGATCTCGGCTCACCTTTCCCTGGATCTCGGCTCTTCTGTGATTTAAGCACAGCTCTTTGGCCCTCATGAGCTGCAGTGTCTCTCGAGCTGACATCAGCTTGAGCCTCTCCAGCCTGGGAGCGGCCGCGGCCCAGGCAGCCTGGCCAAATCTCTTCTCATCCTGTTCCATTTGCTTCTGCATCCCTGTCGGATTATAAGGAGTAACGTAAGGCCTAAGTACAGCTCACTGAAAAGTGAAAAACGTGTCCTGGGCTAATTCTCTCTTTATTGCCTCCCACATTACCAGCAAGACACCCTTTTTAAAAGAAAGTTAGTTTTAATGACTTTTCTGTTATCACACAAATAACACATGGTCCTTGATATAACATTTTAGATGTGTGATGTTTTTAAAAAGAGGAAAGTAGTCATGAATCTCACCTACTAGCAATTGCTTCTTACGTTTCAGTACATATACTTCTAGACTTTTTGTGTCTAGCTAGACAGACAGGTTAGATAGTTTGACCAGAAAAAAAAAACCCACAAGATTATTAGTCTTATTTACAGGGTGGGACAAAGTAGAATTACAACTGTTCATATGGAAAATAATACCACAATTAATTAATAATAATACAAGAATAAAGTTTTGTGTACGTACAACTGTAAATCTACTTTTTATCTTGTTTATTTCACTTCCTGTATCATAGAACTCTTGCCATTCATAGAAGTAGAGAATCACGCTTAGTAGCTGTGTGGTATTCTGTCCCATGCATGTCCTATGATTGATCAAACTGGCTGACCGACAGTAAAGTAAGTTTTTCCCTCTTTGGAACTGCCATCGACAAGGATGTAAGACAGAACAAACACCCTTCACCCAGCTCACAAGGCCCCGCAAGGTCTCACCCTGCGGTCTCGCCTGCACGCTCTGCCACGCAGCGCACTGTGTTCCAGCCCTGGGGCGTTCTCGAAGTTCCCCATGCTTGCCAGGCTCCCTCAAGCCAGAGGGTCATGCTATTCCTTCTGCCTGGAACATTGCTCCCTCGCTCATTTACTCTCTCAGATTCCACTTACCCTTCAGTTATCAGGGCAACTGCCCCTCCTCTGAAGCCCTCAATGACCACTCTGATGGAACCTAATGTTTCACTCAGGCTCCCCGAGCCCCATGTTGATTTTCCCCATGTGCTTGTGGCCACAGCCACTTCCCCACACATTCAGATGAACCTAATGTAGCTAAGATGTATCTCCCCTCAGCAGGTTGGACAGTGTCTATTTACACTGAATCCCCAGGACCTACGCCTGGTACTAAAGAGACACTCAAATGTGTTCTGAATAACATGAAAATTACATCTGTCTTAGTGTAGCATTTTAAATGGTTACCTGCCAATGCTTTTACTGTTTCTTTAAAATAATTCACAGTAATGTCTTGAATAGAGACTATAGCTGCTTCTGCCTGTCTGGTCCATTCTTGGGCTTCCTTCTGCAGGGCCACTATCCTTTTAGGACCCAGGTCGTCCTCATCCAAGGATTTCTTTAGAAAGAACAGGAAATTGCATAAGTAAGGAAGAAAGGTAATGTACAGCCATTAGGAAACTGAAAGCAAATTGCTCACAGGGATTATTTCAATGACTTTTATTGCTAGTACTGAGTTAAGTTTCATGAATTCGGCAATTCCTTATGGAGAATGAAGAAGGTTCTAAGTTGGAGACCACCTGGAAGACAAAGGGATATTCTGGGGCATAATGGAGGGAAAAAAATATGTTTATTCTAACTAGTGTCTCAGGGCTCAACAAAATAAGAGTGATGACAGCATCTACTAAAGTTTAAATTACTGAATTACAGCCCAGGACCTCGCTACCTGAAGTTTCATCTTATTTCCGATGAAGCTGTATGTGTTTTTAGAGGCAGAAAATAAGCTAAATAAGCATCACATCAAAAACGAGTCATCAGCGAAGAATGTGTTCAATCCTTGAAAATCTCTAGAAATCGGAATCTATTAAGATGATCTATGTAAAATGTTTCCATTTTTAGGTCACTTTTTAAAATATATGTATATCTCTCTTCTAAACATAAGGGTGACCCTAACAGTCCAACACAGATAGAATCTTAAATGTGATCCGAGACACAATATGTGACAAACAGTAAATCAGATGAAGTAAAAACATAAAGAAAACATACCAAAATATCAAGCTTACATGAAGTTGCAAACTCTCGCATATCTCTAAACGGCTTCAGTAAATACTGGAAGAACGTGGTTGCCAAGATAACGAATTCCTGGTACGCCTCATCTTCTTCTCGGTAAACCTCCATTAGGGCTACCATGGTGTTGGCTCTTTCCCGCCCCTGAAGAATCTGGAAGGCAAGAAAGAACATAAAGCTCATGTATGGACAGTATTTATAAGATCACACCAAACAAAACTAAGAAACGTTAATGTTCTACACTTTAATTCGAGGGAAAGCAAAATTCAAAATTGTATCTTAACTGAGTACAAACTACTTAATAGAAAAGGACCTGAGCCCTGGCTGGTGGAGCTCACTGGATTGAGCGCAAGCTACAAACAAAGGGGTTGCAGGTTCGATTCCCAGTCGGGGCACATGCCTGAGTTGTGAGCCAGGTCCCCAGTAAGGGCCACGTGAGAGGCAACCACATACTGATGTTTCTTGCCCTCTCTTTATCCCTCCCTTCCCTTCTCTCTAAAAATAAATAAATAAAATATTTTTTAAAAAGTAAAGGACCTGAAAGACTCATCAAATATTAACAATGGTTATCCCTGGGTTGTAGATTGTGGATGATGTTTCTTCTTCACTTTTACGATGATAAAGGTTTTGTGATGCTGCGCTTTTTAGAATCTCAAAAGGACATTAGAGAGGTGCCTCCAAATACTTCAGCATGTAGGTTCTCTCAGCTCCCCAGGTTCCTAGAGCTACCAAGCCTCCAGCAGAGAGACTCGTTTAGAGTCAAAACGGTGGCTCTAGTCCCTGCAGAGCCCAACACTACGCTCCAACTTATTAACACTTCCTCTCTCTCTGGGACTCCCGCGCGCCCCGGCAGCATCCCCCTGACTGCTCCCGGCAGGTGAAGGGCACCCGTGACCCTGCGCCTTCTTCTCCACGTCAGACCGTGAACTTGCTCCTGGAGGAGCCTGCACCTCGTGCAAGCCCCCCACCCTCGCCCTGGTCCTCCTCTGACGGCCCAGGAACACTAACGGGAGTCCCGCCGGTGTACCTGGCGCAGGCGCTCGTCCGCGGCGGCCAACCGCGCGCGCAGGGCGCGCTCCCTGAAGGCGCGTGGACTCTCGCAGTCGGGCGCGCCGCCGTCGGCCGGAAGCAGCGCTTCTCGCACAGCCGCGCCGCCGCAGCCGTCCGCTGCCAGGCCCAGGTAGCGCTCCAGCCGCGCGCACAGTTCCTGCAGTTCTGCCTCACTGAGGCCCGCGCGCGCCGGCCACACCAGTTCCCACAGGCCCCAGGCGCCGCCACTCGCCTCCAGCTCCGGTGGCAGCGGAGGAAAGCAGTGCTCCAGCGGCGGCCACAATGCCGCTAACTGCCGGTGCGCACCGCGCAGCCCGGCGGCCGAGAGCAGGCCGGCCCAGCTGGGCGGAGACCCCGGCCGGTTCCCCTCGCGCCGCCGCTGCCGCTGCGCTGTGCGGTCGTGACAGGTCACCGCGAACTTGCCCTCCGCGTCGTTCCAGGCCACAAGAAAGCGCAGCTGGTGCCGCTCAGGCTCGGCAAACAGGTCCTCGCGGACCGGCACCCAACCCTCCAGGCTGTCAGGCTGCTCGTCCTCCATGGTGCCGGTGGTCAGCGGCCCGGCCTTCTCGTGGCCCCAGCCACGGGACCATCAAGTCCCAGCCGCGACATTTTTCTGTGGACTGTCATCGCGTCCGCGCCCCATCTCCACCCCTCCTGCACTTCGGATTGGCTGGGTGGCTGGGAGGCTTCCAGTGACGTACGGGATTGGCCGAGCTCGGTCCACGATGACCAATGAAAAGGCCAGGGGTCTCGCTGGAAGTTTGCCCACGGAGACGCTCAGTGACGCAACGTCCCCTGGAGCCTGAGAGTCTCAATACTGGCCTCACCTTTGCTACCTTTGTACATACTGATGTGGAAAAGGTATTTGTCGGTTGAACGAGTTCTTGTGAACCCTTGGGTACCGGGCCCCAGCTGATTCTGTCAGGGCTCCAATGAATTTATGGTTTCTGCTCTCAAGGAAGGTACAGACTTCCTGGAGAGACCAAACAGTACATTAAACGTAAGAGTTATTTTTCGAGCGCCAGGCACTGGGTAGTAGCCACACATTTATTGTTTTCAATTCAACAGTATCTTATTGAGGGCCTGCTGTGTGTCTGTTTGGGGGTGGGGCAGAGGAGGCATCCCAAAAGATAACCTCTGTCTTCAAACACACAAACTCTGTGTGCTGCCTCTTCACTTTAGAAATAAGGAAACCGAGTACCCAGCAAAGAGACTCATCATAAGATACATACAGAGATACTCCGGCCAAGGAAGACCACCCGGCTCCTGAAGACCTGTTTCAGAAATGGGGAAATGCAGGTGAGGATAAGTGTGGGGTGGAGCTGGACCTGTTCGAGCAACACAGACCGGCCCGAGTCAGCCCTGACCTCTGCCCAGGGTACGCACCTGGCAGCCGCCACCCTGTGAGTGCGCTGAGAGAGGGCTGAGAGGGTGGGGAGGTGCCCAGGGAGCCACGGTTGGAGCCCTACACCAACACAAGGCTTTTGAGGGCTTGATGCAGGAACCAGTGAAGTAACTTTTAAAGGTTTTGAACTAGGACAGCCTGGAATCAGATTTGCACTTGCTATCATGCCCAAGGTGAAAACAACGAAAACAAAAGGGGACCAGGCTGAAGCCATGGTTAAGGCAGGTTCCCCCCCCCCCAAGATGAGCTCAAGGCATGTAGGTTTAAAGTTGCTGCTGTCCCGAGGTCCCCAGCCCCCTTTCAATGCCTGTGTGGGACAGTGGTCCTTGGACTTGGCGCTGCTGCTCCCGCTGCTGCCCAGTCCTCGTGGGGAGAGAACCTTTTAGCTGAAATGATTTATTTTTCCTCAAACTATTTTTTTAACTTTTAATTAATTTTTTTAGAGAGAGGGGAATCGAGGGAAAAAGAGGCAGAGAGACTTTGTGCCTTGACTGGGACGTGAGCTGGTGACCCTTCACTCTACAGGAGGGCCCTCGACCCGCTGAGCCACACCAGCTGGACTCAGACTATTTTTTAATATGTTACTTTAGCTAGTGTGACTTACATATAATTCTCTAATTACGTAGAATTTCTTAACAGTCTGTTTAACACTTAAAATATTTTTATAGTATGTCTTTTTACTGTATTTGTTTTATGTTATTTTATCCTTTCCAGCAGTTTTTCTAATTGATTTGCTTTTTCAAATTGAAACTAGCAGACTTTCTCATTATAAAATGTCTGTTTTGTCTGTGTGACAGGGAGCTAAGTTTGTATATTCTTAGGAAAAAAATATGGGCAAATACACACCAAACTTAATAATTGATCTTACCAAGACACACAATTGGTTTACACTCACTTTGTGATTCTTTTGTATTATTTATTTCTAAGCCAAATCCCATAGATTATTTTACAACAGAAAAGATTTTTTAAATTTAATAAAAGGTACATAAAGTTATTATGAAAATAGACACTGTCAAAGCTATAAAGAAACAAAGTAATTCAAAAGAAATAAACCCTGTGCTCATTTTATGTGTGTGTGCATATATATATATACAAACGTATATATGTGATTATACTGTAAAGATATTTTACATAACTCTTTCTACTTACAAATATATTGTGGCCACTTTCCACATTTAAAAAATTGGCATCTGTATTATTATACTTAATACTTGCCAGCAGTGAATTGACTATGGTGAATTTTTTTAATGAATTCCCCATGATAGTCATAGATTTATTTCAGTTTTCTACCAGTATAGACAATGCTGTGATGAACATTCTCATACAGACATCTTTGAATAGTTTTAAAATATTTTTTTTGCTTCTGACATTTTATTTAGCTTCTAAATTTTTACCTCATAGATGCCCTGCAGTAATGGTATTTTAGAAATGAGATTTTGATTGGGGGCCCCGGAAAGCAATAGATTAAAATTCTGAGATCAAATCACCACATGCAGAATTGTAAAGGAAACCGGTCCAGAACCTAATTAATGATCTCAGCTAATTAAAGTAAATACAAAAGGATCAGAGTCAAGAGACCAGTGGAGTGATTTCTCTGGAGAGAGTGCTGTTGTCAGGCTGGGGGAAGGGTCGGAAGTCCCCCTCTATCTTCAAGCTTGGTGAGGGGTCTTTGAAGGCACCCCTCAGAGAGCTTGCTGTCTTTCCTGCAGGTGGGCCAGTGGTGGCCTGAAGCTGGAGGATGCGCTGTTTCGCTGGGAGAGCCAGGGAAGGCGGCTGCGCTGGGACCTCTGCATCCCAGAGTTTGCTGGGACCAAGGATGGGGTCTGCTTCCCAAGATCCAGAAGTGGGCCAGCAGGAAGCCCAGAGCCAGCAAGGAGTGCCCTCCGTCCTGCCTGTGAGAGCCAGCTGCACGGGTGAGGGGGCCTCACTGGAGAGGTCTTGGACAGGACCCGCCAGGGGTTAGGCCTGGAATAGGTTTCTCAGGTCGGGCAGGTTTCTCAGCCCCGTCACGGGAACTTTAGGAGAAAGCTCTCCATGATGGGAAACTCAGAGAAGGTCAGAGGCTGAGGGAGAGGGAGAGGCTGGGAGACACTGAGAACAACAAGCACCTGCTTGCCCCAGAGAGCCTGCAGCTACACCAGCTGACACCAGCTCAAAGGGGAGCTGTCTTATCACCTTAGCACCTCTGCCAGCCCCCATGCCAACAGCTCAGGGCAGAGGTGTGGGGAGAGAGGCCACCTCATTCCCCCTCCCCCGGGGCAGGCTTCCAGCTAGAGAGGCCCCACCGGGGCCAGGAGGAGGCCCTCGTGATGCCGGCCGCACTCAGTATGACTTTTCAGTCGTCGTGTTGAACTGCATGTGTAATTACGGAGTGGAGTCTAGGTCTTCAGCAGCCCGAGGAAGGGGTGGCCTACGAGGGAGCAGAAAATCATGGGTCTGCTGGGTCTGTATCCAGCTGGGGCTGCCCCACCCCCGGCCCCAGCCCCTCTATACGCGCACAGCCACGTATCCGAGACCCTTGGTGGAAACCTGGGACTCGAGTCCCCATAGTAAGAAGCAACCCAGGGGACGTCATCTGACCTCTCTGGGTGAAACTTGAGCAGAAGTGGCAGGACGGCCTGGGCACGGCTATATTTGGGCTTTCACTCACAGCAAGCCTGTTGCTATTTGCAGCCAGAGCCAGCTCGTGTTTCCACCGCCTTCAGAGCCCTGGTGTAACACCGGCAGGGCCGGCCCACGGGCACGCAGAGGTCACCAGGAGGAAAAGCCTGCCGAGCCAGGGCGCAGGTTTCTAGCAGTCACCCACGGCCTCGGCGGTAAATGAAGAGTTCGTGGACCCTTAAATTGGCAGGCAAGTTTTTGGTTATCGATATTCTAATGAGACTTGTATTATTGAGCCCCGCTAACTTAATGCCACGGTGTTAATGCAACTCCTTTCCCTTAGAGACCTAGAGAGAGCATGGTAGATTTCAGGAGTGTGAGTTGCAGTAAACAGAGGGAGTGTTTTTTGTGCTGTCCTGTAGCAGGGATTCACTTTACCTCACGTGGGGTTGGTGCAGGCTGTGAAAGCCTGGGGTGCGGGTGATTCTTGCCCTGGGTGGAGAGTAATGCAGGGGCCCATTTGCGAAAACAGTCTGGACCCCTAAATGTACATGTTGGCAAAGCGTGGTTCTGCGCTTTGGTTCAAATACTGAAAAACAGCCTGTTCATCATTTTTCACTCATCGGTGCGTGCTCTGTCCTCCCGCAGAAAGTTGTCTGGTCTGGACTGTGCTGAGACGCTGACCTGAACCACGTTGCACAACGGTACTGCTCAGCTCTTTGCACAGGGTTCTGTGGCTGCGGCTGGGGGATGGCCGGGGGGTGCATGGCCCAGCTCCTAAGATGATAGGCGAGATCATGCCCCTCTGGGCTCACTTTCGGGGAGAGAATTCACAGCTTTCATTGGATTCTCAGAGGCATCTTGGACCCATAAAAGGTTAAAAGACATTTTGGAGGGGACTTTTCTAATTAAAGCACGGAGACACACCTCCCATACGGCACTTGCAAAAGTCGTTTTTATTTTTAACCATACCCTGCGGCTCAGAGAGAAGCCGTCTAGCTAAAGTATTCTTCACAGACCGTGATTTATCACTTCGTCTCTCTAAGCCTCAGTTTCATCGTGTCCAAAACGACAACTTATTATTAATGGACCTTTTTCCTCTATCTGAAGATTTTGTTTAGAAGCTATTTGGTTATAAGAGTCCTGGCTAAGGGGAAAAGGCGCTACCCTGGATCTTAAAAGTTAATCTTGCTTTTTTTGTTGTCCTCACAATCTATTTCATATGTGTCACGTTGGAACAGTTTAATCATATTTCTTTGTTTTTAAAGCATTTGGTTACCACAGTTTTTTAGAAAGGGGCGTTAGGAACTGGATTGCGATAATGGTTGCGTAACTTGGGGTATTTACTAAAAATTACGGGATTGTGCACTTAAAACAGATGGCTTTTCTGGCATGTAAATTATATTTCAATAAAGTTATTTTTTAAAGCTATTAGGGGATGAGGTAAGCAGCTCATGTCCTTCCTAGTTGTACATGGGTGTGTGTTGTTGGTGAAGTACTTGTGCGGGTTGATGAACACGGTACGATGATTCTGTTGGTGATTTGAGCGGTTAAATGGGGAAAAAAAACCCGCTTCTCTAAACAAAAAGGGTTGGGTTTTTTTGTGTGTATGGATCAGTGGTCTTCAGACTTTTCTTTTGTTTGTGAACAGCACCCTTAGAACATTATCTTATCTTATAGACTACTCTCCAGTAGGAAGCGAAGTTTTCTTTGCAGGTGGTTTGAAGTGTAACCACAACCGAGCTGCTCAAAAGATTGTTGCAAAAACTGTGAATGAGTTGATCCCAATCCAGTGACCACCCCTGCAGCGACCTACTCAGGAACTGAGCTTTTCCCCCTGCTGTGTTCCAGGACCCAGGATATCCACGGTTAGCCGCCCAGGAGGGGTCCTTCTGGTGCAGAGGTGCTGCCAAGGGCTTCCCTTGCCACCACGCAGGAGGGGGCTGGGGAGAGGCCGGAGCTGCACGGGGCGCCCCTGGGACACCCACTTTTCCCCATGGATCTGTATGACTCCAGAGACAGGCTGCAGACCTACCCAGCAGAAATCAGTCGAATGAGAGGAGAAGTCGTCCCAGCTGAGATGACCAGTGAGCTGAGAGGGGCAGCGAAAGGTAAGCCTGAAAGAGACTTTGAAGAGGAAGTGGATGAACTCGTCCATTTATATGGACTTGAAGATGACGATGAACTAGCGGACGAGTTCGTCAATGAGAACACACCCAGGATAGAGGTTTCGGAATATTCTTCCCACGTGGCGGCAAGGGGAGAACCAGCCGTGCAGCAGAGAGACTGGAGACTCAGTGCCGAGGCAGCGGAGGCTGAGGGCCTGGGCTTTGGTGGGTGGGGCTCGGAGGGCCAGTGCCAGGACCTGCGGGAGGCCTACCGGTACACGCACGGCCGCGCCAGCGAGGAGTACGAGTGCTACGTCATCCCAGAGGAGGAGGACGAGGAGGAGGCCGCCGAGGTCTTCTGTGCCACTTGCAAAACTCCACTGAGAGAGGTGGACAAGGACCTGGATGAACACAGAGCACACGAGCTGACCCCGCTCAGCAAAGCGCTGGAAAGCGCCAAGGTAAGCAGGTCTCCCTCCCTTCTCCTTCCCCTTGACCTCGCATCTGCCTCGAGGGGTCAGGCGGGGACCAAACCTCAAACGCCTTGGGCAGGAGCGAGTGAAGGAATGCAGCACTGACCCCTGGCGATGCTCTGTTTGACAGGATGAAATTCACAGGAACATGTACAGGTTGGAAAAGCAGATCATCGAGATGGAAAACTTCGCCAGCCACTTAGAGGAGGTTTTCATCACTGTGGAGGTGAGGGTGCGTAGGTGAGCCCGTCAGACACGTGCTGCTTCTCCCATCAGGGTCACTGCTGCCCCCACCCCGCTGCCCTCCCACAGCCCACTGGGCACGTACCGTGTGGAACTGACCACTGGCAGCATCTCCTGCGGAGCCACAAGCTCTCGGTGCAGAGGCTGTGTCTTCTGCGTCTTTCTAGCCCCAGTCCCACTACAAGGCAGGACTCCTCCTTGCACGGGCCACCCTCGGCGAGGCTCTGCGAGACCCCCATCCCGTCCTCGATTACTGCTCCTTTCCCCCCGTTTCTCATGAGTACCTTCTCACGTCGGTCCCCATACACGTCACAGACCCCTGGTGTGCCCAGTAGGTCTGCAGTGCACCACTGAGGTGCCATCCAGATGAGCAGACCAGGCCTGCGGACCTGGGGACTTCCCTTCCCCCGTCCCTTCGTGTGGGCACTCTAATTCTGTCCCTGCCACCTTCCACTGACCAGCAGAAGCACCCCGTGTGAATCAGCTGAGCCCCAGACCCCTTTCCTTGAAGCTGGACCTTCTTCGCCCCTAATCTGAGCAGGGTGGAGGGCCACTGCACTGATCCCCTCGGGGGCACAGAGCAGGGACAAGCCCGCCCCTCAGGAGCACAGGGCAGTGGTCAGAGGGCAAGAGCCCAGCAGGAGGGACAGAGCGCCCTGCACTGGGCATGGCCTGCTCCCTCTCGGGTCCGAGTGTCTTCACCTCTCAGATCAGAGAGCCCTTTCCTGTGCCTTCGGCACCGGGGGGCTCAGCTCCCGCTTCTCCTTCTCTCCTGCCCATTGGAGCAAGTCTGACACACGTAGTAGTCACTCGGCAAACACCCCTGAGTGATGGGTCCTCTCCTTTGGAAGTGTCCCTGTTGTCTGGTGAGGACGGCAGCCACCCAAACCCGCAGAGCTGTCCTGGGGACCAGGAGCTGAGATGCTCTCGTCAGTGTGTCTCTCCCGTTCGGCCCCAGGATGAGAGCTGTCCTGACCCTTTGTTTCCTGCCTTCTCTCACCTGTTGGCACTGCCAGGCCAAAGCCCTGGTTCCCCTTTCCCTTCATCTTTCTCGTAGCTGCTGTGAGAATCTGTGTGGTCCTGGCGTTTGTACGATGTTGTCCAAGCGTCAGGGTGTGGGGGGGGTGTGGTCACAAGACATTGAAAGCTCAGGTGGGCCTCTCCCAGGGCAAACATGTCCATGTTAAGGTCCCAGGTTCTGGTGCAGGCCGACTCATCACTGATGATCAACTGGGTTGGTTGTCATGGCAGTGGGAGGATGGCGAAAGCGGAGGTGGTTTGAGGGTGAGGAGGAAGACAGAGAACAGTGCTCTCTGTTAGGAGTGTCCATGGGGCTCTAGCTGGAGACCCCGGTCCCAGCAACCCCTACATCCACCCCAGTGTCCAGGCAAAAGGTGATGGGGAGGGACAGAAGCATCTCTGGATGAAGACATTTTCATGCCCCAGTGACTCCATGGCTGACACACCCCAGGCACTGGAAGGATGGCTGAGGTCCACTGTCTTGCAGGAGAATTTTGGAAGACAGGAACAAAACTTCGAGTCCCATTACAACGAGATCTTGGAAACACTCGCTCAAAAATACGAAGAGAAAGTGCAGGCTCTGGGGGAGAGGAAGAAGGAGAAGCTGGAAGCCTTGTATGAGCAGCTGGTCAGCTGCGGCGAAAACCTGGACACCTGCAAAGAGCTGATGGAGACGGTGGAGGAGATCTGCCACGAAGAAAAGGTGGACTTCCTGAAGGTCAGTCGGGGCGCAGCAGGCAGCGGTGCGCTGGGGTGACGGGGCCCGGCAGGTCGGCTGGCCCCTCCGTGCCTGGTGGCGCCGGAGTCGGCTTCCACGGTCAGCATCCATTTTATCCCAGCGGGTGTTCGTGACGGGGGACTGTCACCCTTCAGTGGCCAGGCGGGTTCGGGTTCACACACAACTGACCCCTTCCCTGCACCGCTGCTCAGGCGGCATCAGGGCCGGCTCCTCTGTCCTGGTCGCCAGGGACCTGTCCCCCGTCTCCACTTCCTGGAACTGAGCAAAAGCAGTGCCCCAAGGGCTCCGGGAGCTCTGGGAGAAGGCTGTCCAGGTTCGACAGTCACCTCCAATCTCCCACATGCAGGGAAGATTTTAAATCTTACTTCATAAACTGAAACATGCAAAAAAAAAAAAAAAAGAATCCTTGATTTCCTTGAATTCTAGTGAAATCTGACACCAGGCCCTCCGGCAGCTGGGCTGTGGGAATTGCGGTCTCCCAGCCGGGCCCCCCCTCTCCTCGCCAGGCCCCACAGGAAGAGGGGCCGCTGAGGTGTCCAGGACGGGCAGGGGAGGGGGGCCTCAGCCTCTGGAGCTTCCTGTGTGTCTGCTGCCTCCAGGTCGACCCAGCCCATCCGGCCCCCCCAGAGCCCCACAGCGCCTCCTTCCCGCCGTGCTGGGGCCGAGGGACCTGGGTCTGAGGCTGAGATCACCTGGCGGGCCCCTCCGGAGCCCTCAGTGCTCAGACCTTTCCAACCAGGGGCCCCTCACCCCGTGATCCCACTGCCTCTCCAGATAGAATCCAGTAGGTGGGGAGAGTGAGGTGCGTGAAGGCGGCCTTCTCACGTCCCTTACAGCAGGGAGAGGTCGGAGACCCCGGAATGTCCCTCGGGGGAAGGACAGGGGGTTGGTTAGGAGACGACACAGCTCCCGTGCCGTGAACCGTGAAGCATCTTTCAGAACCAAGGCTGGAGACCGTCCGCAGCGTGGACAGGTCTCGTGTGGCCCGAGTGAGGAAAAGTCGCGTGGACAAAACCGCACCGGCTTCGTTCGAGTGGTTTTGTTAGAGTGCGGGGTGTGGCTGGTGTTTTTCTTTTTTACCAGTTTCCCAGCTTTTTCATATGTTTAGCTTGTTATATGGTTTTCAGAAGTCATTTCCAAAATCGGTGTAACGCTGTCTTTTTTCCCCTCCTCTGCAGGACGCCACGGCCATGGCTGACAGGTAATACTCCGTTCTCACGTGTGTCTTCCTCTGTCCCCTCACCTCTGGGTGTCCAGGGAGACACGGCTCCGCTTGGCACAGACTCCCAGTTTCGGCGTTTGTGTGTGACCCTGAACAGCACCAGCTGCCGGACCGTGGTGTGGGGTCACCGGACCCCCTGGGCCCGGGTCTCAGGGTCTCAGGCTGGAGGGAGCATGTGGGGAGGCCTGGCCAGCAGGTGGGTGGTCAGATCTCCTCCAGGAGCCCCTCGTCTCTCCAGGAGGAGCTGAGGCCTGGAGAGCGTCCCCAGGGTCCCCCCGCTGGGCCAGCCCGCAGACTGAGCACCGCAGAAACCACACACCACAGAGTCAGACGGGAGGCCAAGTCCGGGGCCCCCGAGGCACCGGGCGTCCAGCCAGCCTGGGACCTTCCTTCATGTCTACAAACAGGGACGGTTTTGTGGGAGTTCAGTAACACAGTGTCTGAGAAGCAGCGTGAACACTGAAGTTTCAGTGTTAAGACAGTTAAGACACAGGAGCTGTCAAAAGACAGAGCTGGTTTCGGGTTCTGTGACTGCCAGGCAGCAGGTGCAGGGAGACCCCGAGCCCCACCCCACGGCCAGAAAGCGGAGTCCCCAGGGAGTCTGCACATGTTGGGCCTGGCCTTGTGTCCCGGTGGGGCCTGTCAGAGGCTGTGGGTCTGGAGCTGGGCGGCGCACGCCCACCCACTCCCACCTCTCCCCTCTAGTGCACCCATCAGCCCCACCCGTCCCCAGTGGTGACCTCCTGCGTCAGTCACGGGGGCAGCAGAGCCCGCTCCGTGCACTGCCAGGGGCCCAGCCCAGCGAAGACCCTGAGGAAGATGCTCTCCGCTCTCATCAGCGCATCTTTTTACTCCGACAGACTCAGAGAATTCCTGGAAACGGAGACAGACGTGGACATCTCCACGCAGCCTGCCGTGGAGGACCAGACCTTGGACTTCTCCGACGTGGAGCAGCTGCTGGGCTCCATCAACGCCATCCCAGGTGCGCCTCTGCCCTGCGTGCCGACGCCCCGGCACGTCCAGCGTCCCTGGGCTTTGAGGGAGACACTTGGGTGGCCAGAGAAGTCGTGACGATCTGGAAGCGGGCAATTTCTGTCCCCCTGGCTTCATGTTTTGTCTTTGTGGCCGGTAAGGGTGGGGACGGAGGCCAACCCCCTGGGCCAGTGCCCATTCTCCCTCTCCAGGGGGCCAACGCCTGGATCAGGGGAGTTTAGAGTAGTTGTCAGTGTGCGTAGTTCGCCCCTCCTCGGAGACACCTGCCTTCCTGTCTGATTTCCACCAAACCGGCACCCTGAATCTTATTTCCTTAACCCGCACGGTAGTGAAGAGATGAGCTTGGGAATTGATGGAGTTGGGGAGAGCCCCGAGTTTGCCACTTCCTAGCTGTGTGACCCTAGGCAACTTACTTAACCTCTCTGAGCCTTGGTTTCCTGGTCTAGAAAATGGACATGATTAATTCCCATGGGGACAGGGTGAGAATTAAACGAGGTTCTGTGTGTACAGCATGTCGCATGGTGCCAGGTCGCACTCAGAAGCATCACTGATTACATACTCCAGGGAATAATACTAGAATTCAGCTGTTTTAAAAAAAAAAGATTTTATTTTTAGAGAGAGGGGAAGGGTGGGAGAAAGAGGGAGAGAAACACTGATGTGTGGGAGAAGCCCTGATTGCACGCTCCCATCCAGGGGCCTGGCCTGCGACCCAGGCAGGTGCCCCCGCTGTGAATCTGAACAGTGCCAGTCCGCTGAGCCACACCTGTCGGGGCTAGAATTCAGGGTGTTCACCTTCCTCCCTTGTCCTTTTCCAGCTCCATCTGCCCCAGTGATTAACCCGCAGGCCCCCAACTCCGCCTCGGGTTCCTCGGTCCGCGTGTGTTGGAGCCTGTGCTCCGATGACACGGTGGAGAGCTACCAGCTGTCCTGCCGGCCGGTGCGGGACGGCCCCGCAGGGAAGGACCCAGCAGGTGAGCCTCTGCCGGGGACACGGTCACGCTCCAGAATGGCTAAGGCCACTCAGAGGTCCTCTCAGTGGGGAAAGTGGCAGGATAGGGGGGCGCATCTGCTCACCCAGCGCCTTGGAGGGCAGTTCCCTCATCTGGGAGCTACCCAGGGGTTGTGGTGCCGGCAGGTGAGCAAGGCAGAGGGGCTGGAAAGGCACGCTGGGGCCCGGCTGGGACGGCTGTCCACGGGGGTCTCATCCTGCAGGAGGCGGCTGGGCCCGGCTCACTGGGCACAGCTGTGCACCTGCCCTGCCCCAGCCTGGCGGTGGCAGCATCCTGTTTGCTGCCGTCCCATTGGCCGAAGCCGGTCACATGGCAGAGGCGTGTGCACAGGGATGGGAGGAGTCCCTGGCCTGTCTTGGGATCTGCAACTTGGGGTTGGGCAGGATGAATGAGGAACCTCCTGGCCAGTTTTGGGGTTGAATTCTTCTTTTTTCCCAGAGTTTACAATGACCGTCAAAGAAACATACTGCTCAGTGAGGAATCTCGTGCCAAATACCCAGTATGAATTTTGGGTCACAGCTCAGAACAGGGCCGGCGTCAGCCCCGCCAGTGAGCATGTGGTGTACATGACAGGTACGGCAGCCACGTGTCCCCGGCCAGCCCTTCCTGCCAGGGCACCAGAGTCACGGCCCTCCTCATGGGGCAGGGGGTCTGGGTTTCATTTTGATGGACAGAGGGACCTGTGTATTTTTTTTTCTTTTATTTAACACACCAAATCCACGTGCCTGATATGGCAGGGACATTTTCTCATAGTTGGTGTCAAAATGTCAAAGACCACTCGGTCACAGGACTGTTTGAACCTGGCAGCCCCCCTCCGCTCCGGTACCCCTGACAGGCGTCCGTCCCCTGGCGCCCGGGACAGCCCAGCTGCTGTAACAGGACAGTGTAGATGGGGCAGCGCATGGGCCTCGGCCTGTGTCTCTCACATCTGCAGGGCGGGGGTCCAGGCAGCCGTCTTTCCGCTGCGCCCTCGAGGAGGGGAGGGGCAAAGCATTTTCAGTTCTGTGCTATGCTGAACGTCCCCACTCTATGACCCAGTCACCCACCCCCCCAAGGACTCCAGATGCCATCGGTTGGGGACGAGGTTTCAACACAAAAACTTGGGGGCATGCACATTCAGTCTGAGGCACGTGGTTTGCTTTATGTGCTCTGAATGCCTTTTGTGGGAAGAGGGGCTTGTGTGTGATGTCGGAGCTCTGGCCGAGACGGCTGGGCGTGAACAGCGGGGCCCTCCTCTCCCTCTCCGGCGTCCAGCGCCTTCTCCCCCCGTCATAAAGAGCAGAGAGGTGCGGAGCTGCGAGGAGGCCGCGCTGATCTGCTGGGAGTCTGGGAACCTGGACCCGGTGGACTCGTACACGGTGGAGCTGACCCAGGCAGAGACGCCGGGAGCCTCAGGCGTGACTGAGTGAGTCACGGGGCCATTTTCGGGGCTCACAAGCCCCCCCCCAAGCACACGGTGACACGGGTCAGGGAATGTGTGGGGCCTGCAGGGCAGGTCGGAATTTGCGACCCACAGGCACCTAAACTTCAGGTGGCTTAGTTCTCCTGAGAAGTAGCAGGGATGCTGTCAGTGGAGGTGGATGATGAGTGAATACGTGGGGAATCCTCAGGTTTGCTTTCTCGCCTGAAGGTCTTCCACTCACTCACGCGACACGCACTGAGGGCCAGGTGGCGCCAGGGCCTGTGCTGGGCTCGGGGACGGCAAATCGCGTGCCCTCACGGAGGTGCCGGTCGGGTGGGGAAGACAGACAGGAAATGAGAAAACAAACAAATGCATGAGATGTTCTCTGAAGGAGAAATACGTGCTGTGGAGCGGGGATGGGGATGAGGTGGGAGACGGGTCAGGGTCCTGCAGCTGGGCGGTCAACTGAGACAGAACAGGCAGGAAGGACGCGGAGGCCCCAGGACAGTGGGAGCAGGGGCGCCCCTGGGAGAGCACCCGGAAGGACGCGTCCGGGGATGGAAACCCTCCCTGCTGGAGTGTGTGTGTGTGGGGGGGGGGGGGGAACGGCCCGAGGCGGGAACAGTGGCGGCCAGTGTACAGAGACCGTCGTGTCCGAGGTGGACGGCGGTCGGAAACACGATGTCCCCCGCCCTGGTCGGAAGGGCGGCCCGCCGCGGGGGCCCGCGGTGACTGCGTCCTGCGTCCTTGCCCAGGTCTGTCGTGGGCGTCCCCACCTGCGCGTCGCTGGTGCAGCTGCAGCCCCGGCAGAGCTACACGGTCTACGTGCGCGCCCTCAACATGGGGGGCCCCAGCGCCCGAAGTGAGCCCGCCACGGTCCACACCACAGGTCTGTGCCCCCGGCCACACACTCTCCGGGACCCACAGGGGCCACTCTGTGGCAGAGCCAGCGCAGCGAAGACGCTGTTGGAACACAAACAAATGTTCATGGTCAGGAAGGCCTGTGGAGCCAGGCCGGGAAGGGGCTCGGAGGCGGTGGGAGCCCTGCGGCCTCCTCTCACAGGTGGGGGGCGGGGTTGGGGCCCGAGTCACACAGCAGTTTGCCTGCAAGCGCTAGAATTCAGGGTCCTTCTGCACACCCCTCGGGGGCTGGCCACACTGCCCCTGGGGGCCCAGTCACCTCATCCCATAGTCTGGATGCCACCCCCGGCAGCGGCGTCTTTATGAAGTTCCAGGGAGAGCCGCTGCTGGGACTCCTGTTCCCATTCCCGCCGTCAGTCCAGCACCTCGCCACCCACAGGCCCGGCTTAGACCTGCCACCCACCTCCTCCCAGGCCCTCTCTGGCCCTGGTGGGTGCCCACATCCTCAAGTCCAGCTCCCCCAGTTCTCACTTGCCATCATCCTGTCATCAGATTGTCACATTTCACATCCAAGTCTTGAGTCAGCAGGGACATGACTGGAAACATTCTGCCCGTCCCCTGCTGTCCCAGCACGGCTGTGGCTCTGGGTTTGGAGCTTTTGCCAGCTGCTTTCTCAGCCACCCTCGCCTCTGTTTCCTTATCCACAAATGGAAATAACAGCACATGTCTCCAAGGGTAATGGCGAGGACTGAATGAGATGAGACGTGCAAACTGCTGAGCTCAGTCAGCCTGAGTCGGGACGCCGCTGCGTGGTGGTGACGCGGAGGGAGGAGTGACGGCCGCTGACGGCCTCCCGGGTTTGCTCCCCGACAGGCAGCTGCTTCCGCCTGAACGAGCGCACCTGCCATCCCTGGCTGACCGTTTCTGAGGACGGGCTGACCGTGGTGCGCAGCGAAAGGACAGCCCCCGTGAGGAAGCCTCCCCCCGGCAGCACCCGCTTTACCAGGTAGGTGTCGCGGTGTATTTAACGTGCGGCCCTGAGACGCCAGGAGTCGGACCCCCTGGCAGAGCTGTTTCTAGAGCTTGTACTTGGTGACATTGAAGCGATTGGTTGATTTACACCTCGCCTCTTTCTGAAAACTTAAAGAAGACTTACAGTAGGGGCGATACACACCAGTGAAGTAGAAAACTCCAAGTGTTGAAGAAAATGAAGGCCCCAGGTTAACTTCAGGGCTAATTTCGTTTCTATAACTGAACATCAATGGCTCTTAGCTTTCCCCGTAGTCGTGGCAAAAACTGGTCTTGGCAGGTTGATTTTAGAGCCAGGATGGTCTTCTAAGGAAGAAAAGTGGCTCCCTCTGGGGGCCAGAAGGGCCCTAGACAGAGAACTTCTGCCTGCCTCCTGGGCCCTAGACTGTGCCGGCCGCCGGCTCTTCCTCCAGCCTTTTTACAGTGCACGTGTTAAGCACCTACTGTATGTGTCTGCGTGAGATGGAACCATACATGGTGCAGCAGAAAACACGCTCATCCTCTCCCGCCTCTGCCCGTTCTGCCCAGGGTTGGGGGCACGGGGGCAGGGGCAGTAAGAAGCAAGAAACGTCTTGCCTGTGTTAAAAAAATAGAATTCCACTGAGTAAATTTTGAAGATGTTACTGGCTTTATTCAACGATTCGTGAGTCGGGCAGCATCCCATCTGACATGGGGAGCTACGTGGAGCTGTGGGAATGGAAGACTTTGGGGTTCACTTGACTCTTGAGTTCTGGGAGGTCTCAGTCCCTTTCGTTTATGAACAAGTGATCCAAACCTTTGGTTTTGTTACTAAAAAGCCCCCAGAGTCTTTTCTGTGGGTTTGTCTCCTCTTCCGTTACCAACAATGTAATGATCTCGTCTCCTGCGCCAAGTCAGGCGAGAGCTTGGGAGGCGCCCCTTTGCAGGCGAGGCGCGCTCCCCTGCCGCCCCACGCACAGACCACCCGCAGACCGACGCAGTGGGCGTCCCTCACCGCACAGCCAGGCGGGGTCGCCTCCACTCACGGGTGCTTCTCCCTTCCCCAACCAGGTGTGTCGCTGCCATGGGGGACCTCGTTCCAGTCCGAGGGCGCCACTACTGGGAGGTGGAGGTGGACGAGCATTCGGACTACACGGTGGGCGTGGCCTTCGACGACGTCCCTAAACAGGAGGACCTGGGGGCCAACTGCCGGTCCTGGTGCATGCGGCACGCGTGGGCGCCACCAAGGTAATGCGCAGCCGAGCCCACAATCACTTCCAAAAGAGCAGCAGCATGGGGGGGGTCTCGCCAGCAGCCGTTGGCGCCAACTGGGTGCGCTAGGAAACGTTCTGATTTTTCGGGCGTGTTCCCAGCCTCTCCCTGGAGGTCCCGCCCCGATGCGCGAGAGCAGCTTTGCGCTCTTCTCCTACGGATGAAAACGGCTCAGGCTCCTGGAAGGTGTTCCCTGCCGAGCACTGTTGTACACCTTACCTGCGCTCCCTAGTTTACCTCTCACAAGCGTGTCATCCCCTTTTGTAAGTGGGAAAGCTGAGCCGCAGAGCAGTGAGGACCCGCCCCACCTGCATTCAGAGCTGGGACTCTAACCCAGGCGGCCTGGCCCCAGAGGCCGCTTTCCCACTGCGGAGCGCTTGCTCGGCTTCAGTGTTAGGAAACGAATGCAGTTCCATCTTCGTGAGCAAATGCGGGCAGAGGCTTCATGGGTAGTTCACTGCCCTCTGCACGGGGCAGTCCCACAAAGCGAGGGACAAGGGACATTGTCAGACTTGGAAGGCCATGGTTACAACCTCCCTTTATCTCACAAATGGCAAAAAAAGCCTCTCCACACCACTTTCCCAGCACCCTGGTCCTGTGGGCCCTCTGACCCACCCTGGCCTGCTGGACCCGATTAACCTTTCATCCGACGCTCGGTGCCCATGAGCCTCCCTTGCAGTTGAACGTTGGTGGTCACTCTCCCCTGTGTGTGGGAAGGCCAGCTTTCCCCCTGAGATATTGAGACTATCGGCAGAGAAAAATCAGGGGAGTGTAAGGAGAGTAGGGGTCTGTGTGTGGGGAGGGGGGAGAGGACAGAGGGGGCAGGAACGTGGCACGTGAGCTGAGCACCGCGGCGGCGGCAGAACCTCGTGCAGTCCCAGCTTGCACAGCACACAGGACAGACGGTTTTTGAGTGGAGGGCGATGGTCAGGCGTCCTAGCTGACGCGTGTCGGTTGGCTCCCAGTTGTAGACTTCACGGGTGGTGGGAGGAAGGTAGAGGGAAGGGCCCATGAGGCTTCTGGGGGCTGCTCAGTGAAGAGAAGCCGAGGAAGATGGGAGGGCTGGACGGCACGTGGACCGTCTGTCCCCGCCGTGTGCAGCAGCGCGCTGAAGCACGCAGCTCCCGGTGTCTGCAGGTGGCAGGCTAGGGAGTCCCCGTGGCTGGTTTGCGTTCAGCCGGTTCTCAGCGCACACAGGACAGGCCCCAGGGAGCCCTGCCGCTCAAGGGTCTGAGCACCGGGTGCCTCTGAGCCCTGGTATGCAGATGACACCAGGGGCCGTCATGGGACAGGCGAGGACACCCCCGTTCCAATTCCCTTTGTTACAAAGGATTTTTGGCCTCAGAATCCAAATTTTAAAACGTGTTATGTCTATACAAATTTGGATAATACCGTTCATAAGTTTCTTAGTTTAAGAGGTTGCTTAGAAACAAAGCTTAAACATACACGTTTCTTAGGACAATTTCAGAAAAGAGCTGTAGAGAATAGTTTCAGAAAGAGTCTGTCACTTTGGTAGTCATTCATAAAATGACACACAGAAGTATTTGAATACAACTATATAAAATGTTCTGCAAATGGCCCGTCTACAGAATTTCTGCAGATTTCTTATGTCAACATTTAATTTTCAGGCATAAGTATGAGTTCCTACACAACAAGAAGACTCCAGATATAAGAATAACAGTTGCCCCAAAGAAGATTGGCATTCTGTTAGACTACGAAAATTCAAAATTGTCCTTTTTCAACGTGGACATTTCTCAGCACCTGTACACATTTACCTGCCAGCTCCACCACTTCGTGCACCCCTGCTTTTCTCTGGAAAAGCCGGGGTGTCTGAAGATACACAATGGCATCGCAATGCCAAAGCACGTCACTTTCTACTAGACGAGACCTTGCCCAGCTCCCTGTCTGCTGACTTGCCCCCATCAGCCACTCATGCCTGCACACTCCAGTACGAGCCGCGGCCTGGCAGACTGCGAGCTGGCCCCAGCTGCCCCCGGCCTGGGCCTCGTCCCATGCACTGCCACCTCTGTGATGCTGTGACTCGTGTCCCAGCCTGGCTGCAAGATATGGGCTCACACTAAATGCACTCAGGTTCTTCAGCTTGTCATACTGTGTTGGTCTGTGTGTTCATGCGCGACAGCTCAGACTCCAAGGCCGACAGCTTGGGGGAGGGGACAGGGAAGAGATGCACGTCAGTGGCTGCAGCAGCCCAGCATGCTCGTGCTGTCTCATTAGCCAGCCGAGAACTGACTGGAGAGGGCAGGTCGTCCAGAGGACAAGAAGCCCTGGGTGCTCTTCCTCCTGCCTCCCCAGCAGTCAGTGGCACTGTGCTGCTGTCTCCCCCACCACACACGTTCGTTCCCCTGAAGGAACTTGCCCCGTTCTAGTTTCCAAATGACCTCTCTGCCTAGTTCCACACAGGCAGGGACAGTGTGTCCTGTTCCTCGCTAAGTCCCCAAGGGCTCATACAGAAGGGTGCACCGAGTATCTATTGAATAAACGAGTATTTCGCTCATCCAGCCACTGCTCTTTGGCCTCTGCTCTCCACAGGAGGAGCAGCCCTGCAGGTGGAGAGCCTGGCAGGGAGGCATGTGAGGGGCGGGAGGGCCCCTGCAGCCTGAGGGCAGCGTGGGGGAGCGGGGCCAGCACCAGCACTGCACACTTCCTGCTGTCACAGTCTCCCACACACATGCGGCCCTCCCCCCCCCCCCGTGCATATTTGGTGGGGAGATGGGTGGGGAAAACAGAAAACGTAGTGAGTTGTAACTGAGTTGTAACCAACTCTAGGAACGTCCTATAATGTAAAGAGAACCAGATTTGAAGTCAGGACCTAGGTCTGGTTGCTACTTTGTCACTACTTGTCCGGAGAGAAGTCGCTGTGTTCCAGAGCTTTCATTTCCCTTTAAACAAAATAAAGAGTTCCTTCTTGCCTCTCGGGATTGGGAGGTTTCATGCCTGATGTGAGTGGGCATAGCAAACACAATTTCGTAAGAGAACATCCATCCACCAAAGTGCAAAGCTGTACCTGGAGGCAGAAGTGGCCCCAGCCCAGGCGCTGGGGCAGCCCACCTCACTGCCCGGCCCCACTGGCTGTGTTCCTGCTTCCATTCAGGTTCCCCGTCACCACCAAGCACCCTGCACACGAAGCATTTTCAAGCTTGAGTCAAGGTGCAGAGTAAACTGACTCCATTCCTGAGGCAATTCCCTGGGGGCAGTTGAGTGTGGTGCTCCATGGATGCCTCTCTGAACCAGACCCTCATCGCTCGAGGTTTTGTGTTAACTGAAAAACCTTCCACTTTTAAACTGCCACGCTTCTCAGCAGGCTCCAAGTCTGACATCCCAGCATGCTCTATGTCTGACAGTGAACACCTCTCCTCTCCTGTCGCAAAACTCCGCCCGTCATAAACAGCAGCTCAGATTCCTGAATTAACAGCTCACCTCGACAATCTTACAGCTCAGTACACACAAGCGTGCACACACATGCACGCCTGCCCTGCCAACCTGCATTGCTGCCCTGAACAAGGAAGGTTCAGCCCATGTGAACACAGAGATGCTGCACATTATAAACAGTACGATGTACACACGTGTACACTAAGAACTGTTCCCTGCAGACCACAGAGTGGGGAGCAGGGCTTCACAGATGAGGCAGGTGTGCACGCAGGGCGCTCACAGGCTTTACAGGGTACTTCGCAGACAGTGCATGTGGAAAAAATGGATAAAACTCGACACCCGGGAGGTTTTAGTAAAATTTTATTTGACCAAGGAAAACATGCAGAAGGGGCTTTGACATTTAAAATCCAGTTAATTTAAGCAAGGCTGAGGACCAATTTCAAGCATCACCATTAGTGACCATAAAGAATGTTTGTTTACACTGTTTCTCATATTCTACAAAAGGAAAGGTCAAGAACAGAAGCAATCAAACTTTTGTTTTCTGTGAATACTGTGATTTCTTATCACAAATAATCTGCTGAAACTAAACTTCAACAAGGGACAGGATTCACCTCCAACCTGCAATCTGTTAAAAAAAACAAAAACAAAACCCATTTTTAAAAGCCAGACAATTGTAGCCACAATCCCTGACACAGGGCAGTTAAAAAGACATCAAAATCCATTCTTTTCTTGGCTTTACCTCATCACTTTGTAACTCACAAGCAGTTATTAACATAAGCTTTGGCTTCCGTCAACAAAGGGGAGAGAACATGTGGGAAAAAACCACAATCTTGGTGTAAACTAACATGGGTTTAGTAATTCAGAGTACTCAGGATTTAAGCTACCCTTGTTAGATGGGATTGAAAAGTTGGTTAGATTTGGCATATAAAATGACGTTGGATTCTGGTATAACTAGGTTGCCCTTCACTTGGAAAAGTGTAAATTTAGTAACGACTGCCTGCTGGCTGGAACAATGCTCTGCACCCACTTGTACACAGCCAGTAAAGTTTCTCGGAAGCACATGCTTGGTCATCATAAAAGCAGAGCAACTGCATGGGCAGTGATGCCTTTTTCTTAATACTTCACAACCTCCAAAATTTGTTAAAACCCTAACTTTACGTGGCTCGCACACTGTCAGGGGGTCCCAGCACAATTCACCACAATGTGCTGGGACCCCCCCCCTTCCATAAAGGAGACTACACGGGTCTCTACCAGGGAAGCTTAGTTACCCAGTAACTTCCTGAACCCACGGAGGTCTGCACTGCAGGAAAGGTCCTCTCCTCCTCCTTCCTGAACAAGGTCCTCGATTTCTGGTCGCCTTCCTGTCTGTGAGTACAGGATGATTCTCTTGGGTTCCACCCTGTTCTCCTCCACCCTTTCTAATCTGTAAATTTACCACTGCTTTTCTCTACAGTAAGACAATGGAAAGTACACAGTTACTGTTGGTAGATATGTAGGTCTTGAGTTTATTTTGCAAACAAGACCTGTTCTCTCTACCTTTTTATTTAGGAGGCTAAAAGCCGAGCCAGCTTGACTTCAAGGACTCTTTTCTTAGTCTCCAGAACACAACCAAGTCCAGTTTTTGAAACACTGCCTTAGCATGTTTAAAATGTGAAGGGGATGGCATTATTCGTAAGCTTTAAAAGATCTGAACTCTTACGTGTGCTTTTTTCACTGCAGTAAATGGTTAATGAATCAAAATGCAAGATAAAGAGTTTAGGGTTTGGAAAGAAGACTCCAGCCAGTCAGTGTCTTTTTTTTTGTAGCATAAGCTTGGATTCTAACCTTGCTGTTGCCCTTGTTCATCCCAAAGCCTGTGTGGGTCTCTTCTTCGAAAGGAGCTAAGGAGATGCCTAAGCATAACAGACTGGATTAGATGCAAGCATCTAATCCATTCTCCAGGAAAGGACCAACCCAGGTCTCTCCAGTGTGCTTTTCAACACAGGAGGAACTTAGTTTTTAGAGATGGATTTACTAAGTATATACATTATTTCTTGGTAAAACTGTCCTAGCTACTATTCTACCACGAGAAAGATCCCCATCCTTGGGCTTCCTTTCATATCCCATCCGGTTAAGGGAGAGAAGGACAGGGATTGAAAGAGAAGGAAAATAAAAGCACTATGCAAAAGTAAGGACAGAGCTCTGGCGAAAGGTATGTTACCTGACAGTCTTAGGTACAATTTACGGTTTACAAACCAGCCATAAATCCCTAAGCTCCTGGACCTCCTTTTCCTTACCCACCTAATGCATGTATACCGACGGCGTGTCTCCAAGTTAGTGCAACAGATGCTGATGCCTCCTCTAGCAGGAGTCGCTGAGACAGAATACCTGGGTTCGTACAGGCGCTCACGTTACATCCCTTCCCTGTCATAGAATATTACCGATGTGAAACTCACCAAACGAATTTTTTTTGGGGGGTGCACCGTTCCCGGAATAATGCTATACCGGGTCGATGATAGGAGTGGACGGAGCAAGTTCTTATTCCATCTCCCAGCTCCAAAAACCCATTTAATATATAGAGGGCCTATCATATATTAAACTGATAAAAACAGATACTACACTTGATCTTACCCAAAAGGCCGAGAAGCAATCACCTACTAAATTAAAAAAATTAAGCTTTGCTCCGTTTATTTCACCATTTCACGTCGATCTCCATCACTGCTCCTTGCTCGTTTTTCAAACAAGACTGAGAAAGCTGAGCACAATAAGTTAGGACGAGACCTAGGTCGCTGGTTGCGCCGACTCTCCCACGGACACGCCAACACCTCTCCTAAGCTCCGGTCTCCCGCCGCATCCTTTGAAATCTAGCCCGCCAACATGCATTTGTACTAGGACGCTGCTGTCACCCGCGCCGCCGAATGGCCAGAAAACGGCCTTACTCCACGCAACAGACGCAGCCACCCCTCCGGTGTCTCATCTCCAAGTCCAGTCCTGTTTCTTTCCAGAGGAAGAGAACCCTTTTCCGTTTCCGGGACGTGGGGAGGAAGTCCCGCCTTACGCCACGGCATGACGTAAAGACGCACCGAGGCGCCGCGCGCCGGCTCGGAAGTGATGATGCGAGTGGCGCCTTCGTTGAGTCGCGCCAGTAGATTCACGGAGGTCGAACGCAGGGGAGCCGGAGTGGAGGTCATTATATTATTGCTGGATGTGAGGAGCGGGGACAGGGCCGGGACCCTTTCAGCGGGGCCTAGCAGAGTGGCCTGGAGGCTCCATCGCCTCAAAACACTCCCTTCTCTCTGGGCGACCTTCCGTCTGCTGCTCTGGTTTCTGGCTTTGCCCCGCCTGTCACTTGTTGCATTTAGATTCTCCCGGTCTTTTGCGTGTCTGTGCAGCCCCACACCTTGCTGTAAGAAGGGCTACCACTTATGAGCATTGGCTGCGCATCCTGCCCTAACGGGCGCTCATAAGCCGAATTATCCTGGAACGGACGGGGCACCTATATAGCCCTCCACGCCACTGTGGGGCCAGGAAGACAAACTAGACATTGCAATAGGCCTTTATTTAGTTTCCTAGGGCTACCGCCATGCAGTACCACAAGCCGGGTGGCCTAAACAACAGATGTATGTTCTCTCACAGGTCTGGAGGCTAGAAATTCGAAAAGAAGGTGGCAGCAGGATCAGGCTTCCTCTGAAAGTGGGTAAATGCCTTCCTTGCTTCGTTCTGGTTTCTGGTAGTGTCCAGCCATCCTTTGCCATTCTTTGGCCTGCAGCTCCTTCACTCAGGTCTCTTAGCGATGTTCCCTAACTCTGTCTCTGTCTCGGTCTCTTTTTGTAAAAGGACACCAGCCCCCTTGGCTCAAGGTCCCACTTTGACTTCAGTGTGTGATCTGGTCTGAACTGATTACATCTGCAACGACCCTCATATGAGATACAGTCACATTCTGAGCTTCTGAGAAGGACGTGAATTATGGGGGTGACACCGTCCAACCCAGTACAGCTGTCAAGAGCTTAAGAAGTAGGCAAGCCGTGGCCAGGTAGCTCAGTTGGTTAGACCATCCTCCCCTACACCAAGGTTGCAGATTCCCCTGCCAGGCCAGATACGAAAATCAACCAGCGAATGCATCCATAAGTGGAACATCACATTGACGTTTCTCTCCGTCCCTCTAACACCTATATATTTTTTAAAGTAGGCAAGACAACAGCTGACCATAAATAGCTGTAATACAAGTGAATTCAAACGTAGTTCAGTTGGGTCTGAGAGGTTTTTGTGGGTATTTGGACCATTCCAGTGGTGGGTAGGTAGGATCGGGACATACCATCATGGCATTCCAGGCAGCCAAACATCAAAGACAAGGAAGCACAGGTTGAAATGTAAAATCCCTTAAAGCAGGAAAGACCTCGAATGCAGACTGAAGAGCTTGGAGGCTATTCTCTGTATAAAACAAGGAGTAAATCAGCGTTTGGCTGTGGAGTTGTGCCTTAAAGATTTATCCGCGGCTTAAGCCAAACCTACCTGTTAGTTCTTCCAGTTTATAAGAAATGTTGGTGCCTCTGCCCGTGCTGTCCTTTTTTCCTAGAAAGCTGCCAGTCAAGCCCCACAATTTCAACTTGACTTGTCAGTGTTTTTGACCCAGAAGTTGTACTATATGTAGTATGGGGTGTAGGAGAGAGTCGTTCAACTTTTTTTTTAATTTTTAGAGAGGGGAAGGGAGGGAGAAAGAGAGGGAAAGAAACATCAATATGTGGTTGCCTCCCGTGTGCCCCCCACTGAGGACCTGGCCCACAACCCAGGCATGTGCCCTGACCAGGAATCAAACCAGTAACCCTTTGGTTTGCAGGTCCGCGCTCAATCCATTGAGTAACACCAGCCAGGGCTTGCCTGACTTATTTTATAATACTAACTTCCCCTTAATACCAAGATCTAACAAAAATAGCACAAGAAAAAAGCTAGACACAAAACTCACAAAGCTCTGAGACAAAGTAATTAAATTCAGCCCTGCATTCCAGCTGGGACAGGAAAGCGTTGGTCCCAGCGATGATCACTGTATTAGTGGTTCAGAGATTTTAAACTGTGTAATCATCTCATCTGACAAAATGTTTTCCGAAAAACATTCAGTACCTATTTTCATTTAAAAGGAAACAGCAGCAAAAAATAAAAAATAAAATAAAATAAAATAAAAGGAAACAGCAGAATGGGAAGAGTTAAACAGCAACTTAATAAAAGGCAGAAAAAAGGATACTGAACCAAAGATGTACAGTGCTTTTATGGGAAATATGAAATATTGTAGAAAGACATTAAAACAAGAAAATGTGGGTTTCTATTCCAGGGTGGGAAAATCCAGTGTTTTAAAGATAGCACTTGTATCACAGGTTAATAAAGAAGGTTTGACATGGTGCCTATTGAAACAGTGATAGCCTCTCCACATAACTCCATGTGGTCAAAGTGTTATTGTTTGATACACTCTCAGGTGCCGTTCACTGATGCTTTATTTAGAGTGTGCGTATCTCATTATGAGTGAGATCGGTATTGTAGGGGTTTTCTGGTACTATGTTAATCACATGTTGGTATTTAAAATTATAGTAAATCCCTTAAATTAGGGAATATTTCATTTTCCCCTATAGTCTGAAATAATTTAAATGTAGAACTATTTGCTCTTTTAAGGCTGAATAAAGAATTCAGTTGTGGCACTGTACTATGTGAGGCGGTCTTACAGGGTGATGGGGCACCCGGGTACCCTGGGTGGGGGAGGACCCATTCAGAGGGCCGCCACAAGCAGGTATGGGGCAGGGGCTGAGCAGCAGGAGGAGCAAAGAGAGGGTGGGTGAAGGTACCAGTTACCTTCCCAAACCCCAGCCTGACAACCTCTGGCCGCCTCCTGCCCCCAAAGCTGCCAGGAGCAGGCAGTGCTGCCCTCCAGCCGGCCTAGACACATGCTCAGAACACGCCCCAGGGCTTCTTGCTGGGCTCCACCTAACTGAGGGGCGGAGGTGATCTGGGGCTTTGTAAGGGAAGGAAGGGCCAACAGGGTGTGCTGGGGGCTCAAGGGAAGGGCCTGCATTGCCCAGCAGGGAGCCCTGGCCCTTTTTCTAGCTGCAGGTGGCCGGCAGGAAGCACTGACCCCAAAACCTTGCCTCTCACAGAGGAACCCTTTGTGCAGGACCAGACTGCAAGGGGATGGGCGGGGCTGCAAATGCAGGTCAGACCACAGCCGCAGAGCCAAGGGCAGCCAGGTTAGCCCGCAAGGCCTGTGCTCGGTGACGGGACCCCACTGAGCTGAGATCCTGCGGGGGCCTCTGGGGGAAGGATGGGGCCCTGGACCCCAGAGGGACTGCCTGTCACCCTCACACCCAGGCTCAGGGCCACCCTAACCATTCTGTTCTGAAAGCGACAGTTAGAGTGAGAGGAGATAGAGCTCAGGCCTCTGGCAAGGAGCCCAGACAGGGTGGGCAGCGTTGTCAGGGGGGTGCCCAGAGATGGGGATGGCTCTCCCCTGAGCTCCTGCTCCCTGCTCCTTGGGACCTGCTGCTTTTCCTGTCTTGGCTCACTGAAAGCCAAGGGTCCCTCCAGGTCAGGAAGGACACCCAGAATTAGCACCTCCCAGTGGTGGGGCCTAGGGAAGGGGGTGCTGGTTGCTGGCAGCAGGGAGAGGCAGTACTGTTTGGTGGTTAAGGTTACAGGCCCTGAAGCCAGACCGCCTGGGCTCGTATCCTGGTTCCTCCACTACCAGTTTGTAACATTGGCAACCTCTCCTGGCCTCAGTTTCCCCGCCTGTAGAATGGGAACGACAACAACAGTATCTTCTTGACATCGTTGTTAGGGTTAGGTGGAGTTGTAGCATACTCTCTGGCAACAGATGTCATTATGGATGGAGCGGCACACAGGGACCTAGATCCCTGCCTGCATGGGCATCTTGTCACCCAGACCCTGACTCAAAGTCCAGGGGCCCTGCTGACGGCGGCCAGAGTGCCTCACCCCCTCCGCCCTGCTGGGGAACTTTCCGAGGGAGAGCCAGGGCCCTCCAGCGGGGTGACCCCCTGCGAGCTCTGGGGCAGGGGTCACAGGGGGGCAGCCCGCTCTGAGGGCCCATTGTTCTCTGAGCCGAGAGACACGCCTTCTCTCCACCCTTCTTCCCATGATGCACAGCTCTGCAGGCTGAGGAGGGAACCAAAGACAGATGGGCCTTTCCTGTGTCCCCTCATCCTGCTCACAAAGAGCTCTCAGTGCCTCCCAGTGGTCCTGAGGTGCTGCTGTGCTGCCCCAGTTCACAGATGACGCTGAGGCCCGGAGGGGACAAGTGGCGTATTTGATGTCCAGTATGGAAGAGCGGCACAGCCGGGACTAGGTCTGCCAGTCCTGCATCCAGTCCTGCAGCACAGGCTCATGGGTGTGCCACCTGCGCAGCGAGCCCCTCACTTGGTCCCTTTTGCAGAGGACACAGCCTGGGGGGGTGGCCTGGACCGTCACTCCTCAGCAGCCGGGTGGTAGCAGCTGGGTCCCCCGCCCCCAGATGAGCCTCATCCCAGGTAAGTCGTGAGCCCTCAGCTTGTCTTGTCTTCTCTCCAGGTGGGGTGCCTTCTCCCCCCACAGGGGCCAGGACAGCTCACCCTCTTCGACAGCTCTGACTACTGCTTGGCTCAGTGGGTGCCAGGAAAGAGGGGAGCAGGGACCAAGGTCCCTTCCTACCGGGTGGACTGCAGAAGGGCACGGCCGAAGGACCACATGTGAGCAGACCCTCCCTGTAGTCAGGTCTCGGGAGGTGGGAGCCAACAACCTGAGCCCAGGATGACCTACCCTCCAGGTTTCCCTGGGTCCCCAGGGTGTGGGGCTTTCTCTGTTGAAACCTGGACAGTCCCAGGCACTGGGATGCACTGGTCACCTGAATCCCCCACAGCTCTCAGTCTGGGACCATGAGACCCACCAGCAGTGAGTGGAGGACGCTCTGGCCTGGGGCCAGAGGGAGAGAGAGGGTCGGGGTAGGAGAAGTGAGGTGGGCACTGTGCCACGCGGGCCTGGGCAGCCCTGCTCCTCATTTCTCGGTGGGTCCTTCCCGCCCCAGCCCAGCCGGCTGGAGTCAGCCCACTGCCTCCCAACAGAAGCCTCTCAGCGCCTCTGCCGGCCCAGGGAGCCCACGCCCAGCAGGCCCTTCTCTCACCTTCTGGCTGAGGTCAAAGCCCTGGCCCACCCCAGGGAGTGAGGACGCCCTCCCCAATCCCAAAGCCCCTGTTCCCAGTGAAGACAGAGAGGTGTGAACCAAAGGCATCCCCACTGGCTTGTGGAGCAGGAGGAGGTGAGAGGGTGACTGATGTTTAGTACAAAGGTCACAGGACACGGAGTCCAGCCGTGCACCCTCCGGCAACCTCTGAGCCTCAGTTTCCTTGTCCTGAAAATGGGGCTATTGTTCCCAGCAAGTGGATTATGTGAAGGATCAAGTGAGCAGCTGCTGGACAGCCGTGTGCTGCGGAGGGTGTCGCAGGGTCTCCCCTGCTCCCGCGTGGGAGCGGTGTCCTGCCTCCGGGTCTCACCTTGGTTTCTGTCTCCTTGGACTTCTCCACACGGGTACCAGCTGGCTGTCTGGGGTGTTGCCTCCAGGGCTCAGGGAGATGGGGGGAGGGGGTCCTACAGGAGGGGGGGAGAGAATGGAGTGGCCGGGATTGGAGTGAGGAGGCGGTCCCACTCACTGGCAACTGAGGGGTTCTGGGTGTCTTGGCAGGATTTATCCGTGGTGTTCAGGCGACTGGACTTCCTCAGCACAGGGAGGCAGGTGTGGGGAAGTGAAGACACCGACCTTGGGCCTGGCCCCAAGCTAGGTCTCTGTCCTGGTGCCCAGTGGAAGGAGCTGGCCCGGTCATCAGGTCTCCTTCTCTCTGCAGGCCCTGATGGAGGCCGTCAGCACCACTGAGCTCTTCCTCCCTGAGGCTCTCCCGGGTCAGCGCTTCACGGTGCTGGAATAGCAGGGAAGCGAGCCCCAGCCTGGAGACTTCTTCCTGGGCCGGCTGATGTCCCTCACCGGGAGCTGCTGCGGGGCACACGCGGGTGTGTGCTGTAGCCACGGAGATGCCGTCCTGTTCCAGGGTAAGCGTCTCCAGCTGACACAGAGGCCCTACTATGGGAAGAGAGCTGCCCATCCACCCCCGGTCCCCCTGTGGGTGGGCCACGAGAGGGCGGAGACTGGACCTGAGTGGGGCGCAGGTCTCCGAGGTTGGGCGCTAAGTCTCTAGGGTCTGGAGCGCAGGACCTCTGGGCCCTGGGACGTAGGAGTGCAAGGTCACAGCACTGGGGTCACAGGACCTAGGCCAGGCTGTGACCCGCCCCCACCTGGTGATCCCTGCAGACAAACTCCTTGATGGCTACCAGCCGTACATGTTCCTGGCTCCAGCGAAAGCACTGCATCCAAACCGGGGCGGCACCCCGTGGTGCTGCGCCCACCCCCTCGGTCGCTGTGGCCTCTACTGCGCAGCCGCAGCAGTGGAGACCTTTGTGCACTAGGGCGCCACGTGGGTGGAGCCATGGACGAGGACCCGCCCCCTAAAACGCTACACGCAGCAACTGTGTGCACTGTGTGCTGTACCTGCTTGGCCCGGGGCCCAGCCGGATCCCCTGCAAACAGATCCGAGTCCCACTAGCTTGGTGAGCCCCGCCAAGGTACCCACGCAGGCCCTCACCCACCGCTGGGCCTGTTAACAGCTGCGGCTCACCAGTGTGGTGCCGCCAAACTCACGCCCTCACACCCACCCGGCCCACTGGTGTCAAACTCAAGACCCGCTTTACTCTGGCGGAGCCAAAGCCCCTGGAAGCAAACCAGGCCTGCCCACTCACCTTGGTTGCCCTGCTGGAAACCCACCGTGCCCGCTCCAGGGCACAGCCTCCGCTCACGGGTCCCGCCTCGGTTCTCCTTCCACCTGCCCACTCGAGCTCCAGGCGCTGCTCGAGTCCTGGTCAGCCCCGGTGCTGGCCTGGGAGACTTGGGGGTTCCCGCCTGTAGGTCAAGACTCAGCCCCACGCACTCCTCCACTTTCCACGCTCGACCCTCCTGACCCGATGAGAGACCCCCGCCATCCAACCTGATGCCACCCCTTCCCCAGCCCGGGCACTCCTTCCCTTCCGGGCCCAGGTCGTCCTCCCTTGGGGATTCCTTGGACCTCGGGATCCGAGCTGCAGCCTTCGGATGGCCGCGCCCGACCCTGCCCCAGCCTCTCCTTCCCTCCTGGGCTTCAGTGGACGTGGACCTGACCGTGGACCAGGCTGACCTCAGGCCCTCCAGGGTGCTCAGGAGCCTTCAGAAGCGGCCATGAAACTATTTTCCAAAGGTGAAGTCGGGGTTCGCCGCCCCTGTATTGTCCCCTCTCCGCTCGTGGCTCGCAATGGGCTTTTCGTGGCTCTTGCCCAGGCCTTCCTTAAATTTTTAACTTCCGCGAGGTCCCCTGGCTTCCTGGTGAGAAACCAGGATGAGTCCGAGGAACCCAGATTCTGTAGAGCAGGCAGAGGAAGCATCTTTGGTCTCTGGGCTCAGTCCAGGACCCTCAGCCTTCGGGCGCAGTCTTGTCTCCAGCCCCCCTCTTTCCTTCCACTGAGTCTGGGACCAGCGCAGGCCCCGGAGTCCGTCCCCGGGCCCGGTGGGGGTGGGCGAGCGGAAGGGCGAGACGTCCTGCACCCTCCGCATCTGTCCAATCAGTTCAGCAGCCTGCACGCACCCGCAGGCCGAAAGGTGCATCCCCCTCGGGGCAGGCACTGTCCCCACGGGAGGGAGGGGTTTGCCCGAGGTTGGGGCGGGGCCGAGCTCCCGTGGACACGCCCCTGCGCCTGGGCCCCGGTGCCTTTAAGAACCTCGGCTTTCCGCGCGGCCGGATTGACACCTCAGCTCGCCGCCTGCGCCCCTGCACACAGCGGCCTCTGCAGCGCGCAGCACCGCGGACCTCGCCTGCCCACCGCGCTCCCTTCCTCCGCCTCCCCATGTCGGCGGCCCCCGCCTACAGTGAGGACAAGGGTGGCTCCGCGGGTCCCGGGGAGCCCGAGTATGGCCACGACCCGGCCAGCGGAGGCATCTTCTCCTCCGACTACAAGCGGTGAGGCTGCCTAGCGAAGGGTGGGCCGGGGGCCGAGGAGTCCGAGGCGTGCGCCTGCGCCCGCGCCCGGCCTCGCAGACGCGCGCTGGCACCATGGACAGCGCCCGGCCCCGCCCCAGCCGCCAACCCTCGGCCCCTGTCTGCTTTGGCCCAGTCCCCCCACCAGCTCCCCACCCCGGGGAGGGCCTGGGGCCCTGGAAGGGGGCGGAGGTTGTGGGGGATGGGCCAGCCCCCTCTGTTCCGGGAGGATGCACCCTCCCGCCCTAGGGGATTTTTCCTGCTGTTTTGATGACTGGGTTCCCTTCTTTTCCCCACCTGGCGAACTGGTTCCCAGAGAACAAGGGGAGCAGTCAGGGTCGGGGAGGAAGTCGCCCTCGGGCGTAGGCTCCGAGCCTCCAGGCCTGACTCCTCCTACGAATCCGTTTTCCCTCCCCCTGGTCCCCCTGTTCTCATTCCCGGCTCCCATCTGGTGCATTGCTGCCGCAGTTCGACCCCTCCTTCACCTCCCTCTGCCCCTCCCACCCCTGCCCTTTTCCTTCGTCCTCGTTTATTTGTCAATTCTGGGAACAAGCGTATTTAAGGGCCTACTGTGTGGAGTCCTGTCCTAGGCACTGTGAATAGAGCGGTGGACAGGAGACAGTCCTTGTCCTCCAGTTGCTCCAGAGAGGAGCACAGAGGAAGGATCTGTTGGTGACGGTTCTGTGCAGTGAGGACAGCGGGGAGGGTGAGGGGAGTTGGTTCCTGGCCCTGGAGAGGGGCTCGGAGGGTCGTCCCAGGGAGACGAGGAGAGCCGGGTCACAGGCTTCCCAGGAGCAGGTGCAGTGTGGCCGGAACCACAGCGCAAAGAAGCTGCAGTGATGGGGGACGAGGGTGGGGCAATGCCAAGGCTGTGGGGGGCAACCGATGCCAGGTTTGCCTTTCGGAAGGTGTGTTGGACTGAGCGAGAGACCCGTGGGGAGATTGAAGTTGGGGGAGGACATGGTGAAGGACTGAAATAGGGGCGCAGTGGAGGGCTGGAGAGTTCTGGAAGGGGATAGAAGCTGCAGGCCTGGCAATTCGCTGGGAAAGAGTTGAGGGGAAGGGGCTGGCCTGAGACCAGGACGGTGCGCAGGCTACTGTCACTGCAGCTGCATAGACAGTGGGGATACTCGGCGGGACTGGAGATAAAGCCCTTGGAAGCAGATGTGTGGAAATCGGTGTGGAGCCCAGCTTTGGGCACGCTGGGATGATAAACTCAGGGCATTCAAGTTGGCTGGTGGCTGAATGATAGGATTGGGATTCCAGGAGACGTGTGTGTGTATGTGTGTGTGTGTGTGTGTGTGTGAGTGTGAGTGTGAGTGTGAGTGAAGGCCACAGAAGGCAGAGAAGACTGACCCCGGGAGGGAGCCCTGAAGACCCTGCTGTCAGGGGCGATCAGAGAGCAGAGGCAAACTATGTCAGGGTCACAGAAAGCAAACCAAAAAGCAGGAGGAAAAGGAAGCGTGAGTTCCAGAAGAAAGCGACTAGTAGTGTCAGTGCCTGTCGAGGTCACGTCCAACCAGGAAAGAACCATGTGGCCATCGGTTTGACAAAGAGCAGATGCACTCTGCCTGGCCCCATGCCTCACCTGCAGGCCTGGGAGACCAGCGCCGGCAGAGTCCGGGGAAGCGCTAGATTATTCCTCCCCGTCCCCTGCCCCCCCCCCCCCGTGTCCCGTTGCGGACATTTTACACTCACAGAAAAGTCGAATGAGTAGTACAGTCCCGCATACACTTCTCACCTAGATTCAACCATTGTTGACCTTGTGCCATAGCAGCTCTATCGAACTGTCCGGTCACACGTGTTCGGGGCTGAAGGGTGTAAGGTGCACACGTCATGACCCCTCGGCCCTAAACTCTAGCTGGCACCGAAAGCTAGCTTGAAGCAAATTATTTTTATTTGCTTACTAGGATGGGAGTGCCTAGAGCAAGTTTAACTGCGGATGGGGAGGGGCCTGTAGAGTGGGGGAGGCTGAAGGGAGCGGGAGGAGGCGCAGATCCCTGAGCGGTGGGCAGGGGGCCTCACAGAGCTGAGTGGGAGCAGCAGCCCTGCCCAGAGGCAGGAGGGCAGGAGGCGAGGAGAGCACTGATGTCTGGGGCCTGCCAGGGGTTTCATCTAAGGCAAGGCTGAGGGCAGGAGCTTGAGGGCGTGGAGGGGATTTGAACTACAATGAATACCAGAGGGCCCAGGGCGAGTGTGTGAGCACAGGTGGGGGGTGGCCCAGGGGCCAAGGCCAGGCAGGGAGGAAGGGGGACGGGTCAGACCTGCAGCATCTCTGAAGGGCACCTTGGGGAGGCAGAGGCCCTGGGCACCCTTCTCCTCTGGATCAGCCCCCGACCCCTGACCCCTAGTCTCCGGCCCAGAGATTGAGGGTTGGCTTCGCGCCGGGCTCCTCCCTCCAGAGTCCTTGTCTCTGGGCGCTGAAGAGGAAACCAGAGCCTCCCTCCCCGCCAGGGTCCGGTTTCGGAGTTTCAGGGGCGGGCCGTCGGGTGACAGCGCCAGTCCTCCTGGAGCTCGCGTAGGTTCAGCCCCATCCCCAAGCAGGACTGGGTACCCGATGCAGCGATTCCTGCAGCTCCCGGGGGTGGTGGCCAGACAAGGGGTCCGAGGCGCCTGCGCGGCCGACCCGGAGGCTGCCAGCCCCGTGCTGGCCCCCGAAGGTGGGCCCCCGCCCTGGTACCAGGCCCTGCAGCCTGAGGAGCTGCGGTGGCTGCAGGCCCCGGAGGAAGGCACAGCCCCTGAAGCGTTCCTGGAAGAAACTTGCCCAGAGCCTGGCCAGGGCCAGGGCCCAAGCCAGCCACTACGGTACAAGGGAACCCCAGGGTCCCCCACCCAGCTGGACGGGAAGACCAGGGATGGGCAGCTGCCACTCAGGCCAGACCCCGTCAGTCCCCTCTCTTCGGAGGAGGATTGGGCTGGCATTTAAGGGCCAGGTGGGGGCACAGTATGGGGACTGAGCAGGAGTGGGCGTGAGGAGTGATGACTCCCCAGAACTCTGAGGGGAAGGGAGGAGGGCCGCGTAGTGTTTGAGGGGGGTGGTCCCACCCTGACCTCTTCCCTCCCCCAGGCTCTGGCCAGAATGGGCTCTAGGGGAGGTTTGGGGACCGGAGAGAACTCAGATAGGGTTTGGCCAGCCTCTCCCGGCGTGTGAATTGGAACGTGTGTGGTGAGGGGAGATGAGCAGGACCGGCCTCCAGTGCCATGTGTTAGCCCCTGGCTGGCCCCAGCCAGCCCCGCAGGCGTCCCGCAGGCCAGGCCCAGGTCAGGTCAGGGAGCGGGTGTAAGGGGATCTGAACCCTGGAGTTAGGTTTCCTGACCCAGGGCGTTGCTGGGCCTCTCCTGCTTCCTCTCCCTCTGGGGAGCAGCTGCTGGGGAAGGACCGGGGCTCCCCGGGGGTCTCAGTCCTGCCTGTGCCGTACACCCAGTGGCTCCTGCCCCCCTCCTACCCCCTTGTCCTTGGCCCTGGGCCTGGAGCCTCCAGGAGCCGGGCATGTGTGCCCCAGGCTGGGTGGGTGGGAAAGCTATGGGTGCCCAGCGCCTGGGGGTGTGTGCATTTGACAAGGGCCTGTGGCATCCGGGTGTGGCCAGGACACCGGGGTGGGAGGCGCTTTGCTTTGGAGAGAGCACCCGGAGTTAAGACAGACCACCCAGTTCCCTGCTCCGGGGAAGGCACCCTGGGGTGACAGGCCAGGACCCCCACCTGACCCCTCAGAGGAGGGCATGGGACCCCGGAGGCTGGAGGTCCGTGATCTCAGAAGCCTCGACGTGTCACCAAGAACCTCAAATAGGACAGTGGCCATTGTGGGAAATGAGCCCGGAAGGGTTGAATTTGGCCAAAACGGTGTCTGTGTGTGGGGTGTGTGTGTCTATCTGAGGGTTCGGGCGGAGCGTGGAGGGGGGTGCGCGTGTGGGATGTGTGCGTCCGAAAGGGTGCGGAGGTTCTGCATGTGGAGAGTATGTTTCTGTGGCGAGTGGCCGTGTGTGTGTGTGCCTGTGATCCTGTGTCTCCGTGGGGGTCATGGGTGTGTGGGGGCTCACGCCGTGCATGTGTGTCTGAGGATGCAGGTGTGTCCGGAGGCACACGCAGCAGTGTCCACGGTACAGGGGGTGCTTTGGCGTGTGGTGGAGGAGCCTGTGGGGCATCTGTGGAGACCGTGGGGCTGCAGTGGGGTGCATGCGCGTATTGGAGAAGGTGGCACCCAGCTCAGTGTTGCCCAGGTCGGCTGAATGGCCTGTAGCCCTGTGTCTGCCCCCGTTGTCCTGAGATCAGCCCCCCGCCCCGTAACTGGGACAGGTGGTCATCTTTGCACCCCGCTTGGCCATGGGAGACGAGAGGTGTCTTCTGTTTCGGGGGGCATCCCTCCCCCGGCGTGGGGCTTCAGGCCGCCCGGGCTGCAGCCAGGGACCTTCTGCCTCCATCCGACTGCTGGCAAGGCCTCTGCGTCCTGAGAGGCGTCATCTTTCCCCTGCGCTGTCCGTCAGAAATCCCTTCAGGAGGCACTTTGGGAACTCGGAACACGAACGTCTCGGCCCCCTTCTATCGCTCCCACCTGCTACTCACAAAGCACAGCCCTGTGACGGGGTGTGGGGTGTCATCGTCCTCCTCTGCTCGGCGTTCATCACTCACTCAGCCGCAGTCACGTCAGCCCCTTTGTGACTCTCGCCACGCACTTCCCTTTCCTCACAGTGCCACCCCCAATCTCCCACAGCCTGTTGTTTCTGGAAGTTTTGCTTCTGTGACTGACTTTGCTCAGCTCGCATCGGAACGTCTGCCACCGCTGATAGTTGTCCAGGCCGGGCTCTCGTGCCTGCTCAAAAGCGGTGGTTGTTGGGGTGCCGGGTAGGAGGTTATCAGGGGGGCCTTGTGGGAGATTCACAAGTGCACAGGCGCCCCCTGCACAGCTCCCCACATTTTGGAACTGTCTTGGCCACAGTTGAGTGGGCCACTTGTCCCACAGCTGGTCAGCTGTGTATGGACACATTCTCCCTGGGGCTTATTCACCTCTTCGGCCGCCAGCCCCAGCGCCTCTGAGTGTGGCTGGGCAGCTTGGTCGCTGCACCAGGGCCCCTGGCCCAAGAACACCAGCCCCGGGGCCCGCCACCGAACAGGGAGCCCCAGCTCAGGGCTGCCTGCCCAGGGCAAGCAGGTGGGAGGGACCCGCAGCAGCCTGGACAGGGAATGCTGAGTATGGGCCCTGTGCATTTATTTCCATCCCGCTTTTACTCACCATGCCTCAGACATTTTTCTTTTGGCGGCTGTCGTGCATTTGCGTCCTCCTTAGATTCATGAGTTGAAGCCCCAACCCCTAGGAACTCAAAAGTGTGGCTGTGTTAGCAGACAGGGCCTTTAAGGAAGCGATTAAGTCACAGAGAGGGCGTTACCTTGTGAGAAGAAGTGATTAGGATGCAGACGCACACAGGGGAATGGCCACTGTCTGAGCCCTGTTTCTCCCGACCCCAAGTCCCCTGATCTGGGCTTGACTCCCGTCCCCTCTGGGGGCGGGGGGGGGGTCCTGTGTGACAGCCCCACCCCCACCCCATGCCCTCAGCTGACCTCTTGTGCCTCCCTCCAGGCATGACGACCTGAAGGAGATGCTGGACACCAACAAAGATTCCCTCAAGCTGGAGGCCATGAAGAGGATCGTGGCGGTGAGCAGGGAGAGGAGGGGACGTTCCCCATGGAGGGGCCCGGGGTCACACAGCAGCTCCCCTTGTCCCCAGTGGACCATCCCCTATTAAGTGCTGGCCCTCTCCCTACCCCTTCTCCCCCGGCCTTGACCCCACCGCCCAGATGATCGCCCGGGGAAAGAACGCCTCGGACCTGTTTCCTGCCGTGGTGAAGAACGTGGCCTGTAAGAACATAGAGGTGAGCGCTGCCCCATGAGGGCCCCGCACGCCCCCCTCCACCAGGAGGAGACCCGAGCTGGTCGGGGGTGAGGGGCAAACCGTCCAGCCCCTGGCGGCTGCCCTGGTCCCGTCCACGAGTCTCCGGACCAGACGCGCTGCCGAGAGACGGCGGGCCCTCTGAGGAAGCTCTTCCTTACGGGAGGGACTGGTCCCTGGGGACCATGGCTGCTGGGGCGGGAGGGCCGGTCCCCGCTGGCAGCCTGCTCTCCCCCAGGTGAAGAAGCTGGTCTACGTGTACCTGGTGCGCTACGCCGAAGAGCAGCAAGACCTGGCCCTGCTGTCCATCTCCACCTTCCAGCGTGGCCTGAAGGTCAGTGGTCTCGGCGTGCCCCCTTGGGGCCAGGGCCTCGTTGGTGCTCTGTGGGAGGCGTGGGCCCAGAGGCAGGCCGGGGCTCTGAGACCCCTCCCCACCTGTGAGTCTGAGGAGGGATGAGGCAGGTGTCTGGAAACTGTGTCTCTTCTCCTCTCTGAGCAAGAAGCCAGGTTACTGGCTGCCTCAGCTAGGACCCTACTGGCCCTCATCACCCGGCGGACAGAGGTCGGGCTCTGTAAGACGATTCTGTGACAGGAGCTGCTGACCTGGTCCCTCAGCCCCGCAGTCAGAGCCACGGCCCCGGTGGGCTCTCCTAGTCGGCCATCTGCAGGGAGTGCTGACTTTGCAAGCTTTTTTTTTCCCAAAACTGGATAGAGAGGACAAAGTTTTACTGAAAACAAATGAGCCCCCACTAGAGGTTGGGTTCAGAGGTGAGCACAGGACCTTCCACTTTCTGTAAGTTCAGCCCAGTCGGCAATTCCTCCAGAACTGGAACAAATTCTCATTCTGCTCAGCCTCGTCTCGGGTGCACAGACCTGGATCCCCTGGTCCTGGGGAACTGCTTTCAGGCAGGTGGGGGATCTGGACTCGCGGAGGGAAGGGCCTTGGGAGGAGTCGAGTCCTGGGTCTGGCTCTCTGGTGGGGCGCGGGGCGGGGGCACTGGCGTGTGCACCTTGTGCCGGGGTGTTCTTTTAAAGTCAAAACCAAAGGACCTCTCTCAGATTGGCAAACCATCTCTCCACTCAAAGCAGGGTCCAATCATCTTACAAGAACCATTCTGGAATTTTTGCACACATGCATTTTATATTTACGTGTCATGTCTCCAGTCTGGCCTGTCCCAGCCTTTTAGAAACCAGAGCTCCTTTAGCCCCGCCCAGTCCAGTGGTTTCTGTGGACCAGGCGCCTGCCCGCCACCTGCAGATCCTGCCGGAGAACCACGGAGGCTTTGCCGGCCGCACGGTGTCCCCGTGCAGCTGCTCAACCTGGTCCACGCAGTGCAAAAGCAGCCGTAAACAAGGCGGCATGGCCCGGTTCCAATAGATTTTTACTTATAAAAAAGGAGAAGACAGATGTGACTCAAGAGCTTCCATGTCGGCCGCTGGTCCAAATCGCCGCGCACGGTGACAGAGACCTCACTCCTTCCCAGGCGACTCACTCCATTTTAAGACAACTACAGTTTTTTTTATTATTATATTGCATTGCAGCCCCCCCATAGTGATAATGCTTCAGAAATGCTCAGACTCACAAAAGGCGAAAAGACTGCTATAATGAAGATCTATACACCGAACACAGAAAACACCATCTTCCTCCAACAGCCAAAGCTCCCCTCCATGTCTTCCCCTGTGTGTTGCCGCTGTGTGTGCACTTATTCTTCTACTGTTTGTTTACCTGCCCCTGACAATGCCATGATACTGTCTTGTAAGTGGTAGCATAGGATACACGTGTCCCTCTGAAACTGATTTTCTTTCTGTTGGTCCTCACTGTTTCTTTTTTCCCCCGTCTGCACATGAATACCCGTCATTTCTGCCCAGGGTTCCCCTTCTTTTTCTCAGGCCCGGCCAGGGCTGTGTTTGCTTTCTCGGCAGCCCACTGCTGCGGCTCAGCCTCCACTCACACAAACCTCCAGTGGACAAGCCGGCTCTCTGGGCCTCCCTGCGCCCTGTCTCCGTGCAGGCGGTCCCCGGAACGCTCTGTGAACCTCCCGCATCACCTTTTAGTGGTTGAGTACAGGGCGCTTCTAAATCTTAATTTTTAGCCACCCGATTGCGTGTCTGCCTCCAAGATGCTGATAAGCCGTTCGCCCCACAGCCGCAGGCAGCCCTGTGGATATTACATTTCCGGGCTGACACTGATCTGTCCACACACCTTCCCCAGGCTTCAAGTTTATGTGTCTTCCTAACTTCCCTGAGCAGCCTGCAAAATCAGTGCTGGTTAGAAAGGATCTTATTCTAGAGCAAAAACATCTCTCGAGTGCAAAGGGCGGTGGTGACACACCAATGAAATCAACGTGAATTCTGCTCTTGGAACAAAAGGCCTGCACCACTGATCACCCCCACAAAGCCTTGTGGAAATCAACGTACATAGTGTTCATACCTACCAGCCCAGCCGCCCTGCCGGAAAGGAAAAGACTTTGACGGGGGTAACTTCCTGCGAATCCATCATAATCTTCAGCAAGAATGTTCTGTTTTTTAAAAAGGGAAACCACGTAGGTTTTAGTGGAGAATGGGATACGACGTGACTCTGAGAAAATACAGACTCCAGCTTTTTCCATCATTGCTTTTAAGCCATCTGTTTAAAAACCAGTTCTGGAACGTTGACAGGGATCGCCGTCACCGTTCCCTGCCATGCTGTGGATCTTCCTCCGTTTTAGAAAATCAGGGAAGCAGCATGTCTCTCGAGCGTCCAGTACCCCTGCCACTGTCCACCGTCCTCTGAGATCCGCCGCTGCCTCGGTCACAACCCCATGCCCGAGATGCACTTCTCGCGTGTATAGGAAGCTACAGGAGCAAGGAGGAGGGGCCTATGCACCATTCTCTCTGAAACCTCGTGGGAGGAGGCGGAAGAGCAGCTTGGGAGAGGGTCCGTGGGGAGGGGGATGTAAGGAGGGACTCGTGGGAAGGGAGACCAGCTTGCCTTTGCTGGCAGTCACCTCCGGCATAAACACAAAGGAAGGCAGGAAAGGGGTTTTCAGGAACATGGGGTGTTCTGAAAGTTTTCCACTCTGCCTGAAAGTGAAGCAGCCCATCCCCATGCCTGCCTGTTCAGGTGTCAGGTTTCTGCAGCCAGGGTCAAGAGTAAGTGCCCCATCAGGTACTGACCGGGGGCAATTCACCCAGGGTTAGGATAGAGTCAGGGGAACGAGAGCTGGTGGTGGCCAGGGACAGCACGTCCCACAGGTGTGGCCTCTCACGGCCCTGCCGCCACCTCTGCCCCCAGGACCCCAACCAGCTGATTCGCGCCAGTGCCCTCCGCGTCCTCTCCAGCATCCGTGTGCCCATCATCGTACCCATCATGATGCTGGCCATCAAGGAAGCCGCCTCAGACATGTCGCCCTACGTGCGGAAAACAGCTGCGCACGCCATCCCTAAGCTCTACAGGTGGCCCAGCCCCGCCCTGCCGGATGGGGGGCGGTGCCCACACCTGGCCCCGCCTGGCCCTGTCCTGTCTTAGGTTGTGTAGGCTGCCCTAGTTTTTCACTCTTCAGGTGCTTTAAGACAGTTTTGGGAACTAGAGAGAGAGCAGGCCCTGGAGGTGGTGGCCTGCACCTCTTTATGAATGGGGTTGCGGGGAGGGAGGTGGGCACATCTTGGGTGGATACTGGGGAGGCTGGAGTTGGGGAGTGGTGGGTCCCTCTGAACAGTTTCTCCCGCAGTTTGGATCCTGACCAGAAGGACCAGCTCATAGAGGTCATTGAGAAGCTTCTGGCCGACAAGACCACGGTAGGTACAGAGGTGCACAGGGTGGGCAGTGGGGAGGCCCTTCCGTTGACCTTCTCTTGCTTCTGTCCGGTGCGCAGCTGGTGGCGGGCAGCGTGGTGATGGCCTTCGAGGAGGTGTGCCCAGAGCGCATCGACCTGATCCACAAGAACTACCGGAAACTCTGTAACCTACTCATCGACGTGGAGGAGTGGGGCCAGGTGGTCATCATCAGCATGCTCACCCGCTACGCCCGCACCCAGTTCCTGAGCCCCACCCAGAACGTGAGTGCGCCCGCCTGGCCCTGCCCTCGCCTGCAGAGCAGGCTGGAGGGTCACCAGCAGGAGGTGCCCACTGCCCCACCGTCTCCACAACAGGAATCCCTGCTGGAGGAGAACCCCGAGAAAGCCTTCTACGGCTCCGAGGAGGACGAGGCCAAGGGCCCGGGGTCGGAGGAGGCTACCACCTCGGCGCTGCCAGCCAGGAAGCCCTACGTCATGGACCCTGACCACCGGCTGCTGCTGCGCAACACGAAGCCGCTGCTGCAGAGCCGCAGCGCCGCGGTGGTCATGGCGGTGGCGCAGCTCTACTTCCATCTGGCGCCCAAGGCCGAGGTGGGCGTCATCGCCAAGGCTCTGGTGCGCCTGCTGCGCAGCCACAGGTGCGTGCCCCCTGGCCCCGCCCACGCCCGACCCTGGCCCCGCCCACACCCGGCCCTGGCCCTGCTTCTCCTGAACTCTGGGGCCATTAGGTCCCCACCTCCCCATCCTAGCCCACCAGCCCACCATGCTGACCCCAGCTCCGCCTTCCTCCTGCTGGTGACCTGCCCACCACCCCGTCCTCTCCTCCCTGTACTTGGTCTGCTTTCCTTACACCCACCTGCTGCCCCTTGTGCCTGCCGCGGGGCCATACAACCTCTGACCATCCTCTCTGCAGTGAGGTGCAGTACGTGGTGCTCCAGAACGTGGCCACCATGTCCATCAAGCGCCGGGTGAGCAAGCGCACAAGGCCTGCGCTCCCGGTCCGAGGGGTGGCGTCTGTGGCGCTAGGGGCACTGAGGAAGGGCCAGTGGGGGTTGTAGGAGTGCCTCGGCGGTGTGGTATGACGGAGCAGAGACCCCAAATGCAGGACCCTGAGGGCCACTCAGAGGAAAGTCTGGTGAAGAAAGACGGGGTCAGATCTAGGAGGGAGGAGGGGAAAGATTTGAGACTGGAGCGCAGTGCTGCGGCGTGGAGGTGCTAGGCACAGGTCTGGAGCAGGGGGCACTCTAGGACAGGCCTGGTGGGACTCCCTGGGTGCCTGTCTTTCCCAGGGCATGTTCGAGCCCTACCTGAAGAGCTTCTACATCAGGTCCACGGACCCCACCCAGATCAAGGTCCTGAAGGTGAGACACGGACAGAGTGGCGGGGTCGCTCTGCCCCATACCCCTGCACAGACCCACTCAGGTACCCAGGTGGCCACTGGGGGAGGGGGGGCCTGCCCGTTGCTGGGGCTGTGGGTGATCCCACCGCGGAAGAGGCGAGCTGGTTCTCTCCATTTTGAATGGGTTTCAAGACCTGGTAGTTTCCTCGCCAGTGGGAGGGCGCTGCAGGGCTGCCCTGAGGAGTGTTTGCAGGGGGTGGGGGGGAGGGCGGCGTGCGCTTGCAGCCATGGGTGAGAAAGCCCGTAAAGCCCACTCTCTGCCCCCCTGCAGCTGGAGGTGCTGACCAACCTGGCCAATGAGACGAACATCCCTACGGTCCTGCGGGAATTCCAGGTACGGACCAGGGCCGGCCCACCCCCACCCCCCACCCCCGCCCCCTGGAGGGGCCGGGAAAGCTGCCCACAGCGCCCCGTGCACTGCGGGAGCAGCGTCCTGCAGGCCAGACCCTCACTGAAGGTTCCAATGTGGGGACGCGGCTGCCTCAGGACCCTCTCCCGGTGCCTTCTGCCGGATCCCTGGGCGGCGGGCAAGGGTGTCGCGCCCCTCCCAGAGTGCTGTCTCTGGGTGATGCGTCATTGAATGAGGGTGACCGCTTTCCAGAAAGTCACCCGAGAGCCTATGGGGGGGGTCCCTCTGCTGTGCCCCGCAGACCTACATTCGCAGCATGGACAAGGACTTTGTGGCAGCCACCATCCAGGCCATCGGACGCTGCGCGACCAACATCGGCCGGGTCCGAGACACCTGCCTCAACGGCCTGGTGCAGCTGCTGTCCAACCGCGATGGTCAGTGCCTGGCTGGGTGTCCAGCTCTGATGGCCACTGGGTGTCTGCCTGCATGTCCAGCTCACAACCAGGGGTACCCCCTATCTGTCCAGGCACAATAAGTGTCCATCAGTCTGTCTGCCTCAAGGAGTGTCCAAGTGCCCCCACATCTCTGAGGACCAGTGGAGAAGGGCAGGGGGCTGAGGAACAGGGCCGGGGGTCTGGGTGAGTTGCAGGGTGGCTGCCCACCTGGGTGTGGCCAACTGACACTCCCGGGGGGCCCCCTGTGCCCTTTCCCGTCCCCCAGAGCTGGTGGTGGCGGAGTCGGTGGTCGTCATCAAGAAGCTGCTACAGATGCAGCCAGCTCAGCACGGAGAGATCATCAAACACCTGGCAAAGCTCACGGATAACATACAGGTGGGGGCGCCACCCTGTGTCCCCTCCCTGCCCGGCATCCTCCCCGTGATTTTAAGGCCCTGTAAGTAACAAAATCAACCCACACACCTCCCACACTGGCTCTGAAAGGACTTCCGGTGGAAGCAGGGGAAAGATGGGACAGTGTCACCCTGACCTTGTGGCCCAAGATTCGCCTTCCCTTTGGTGACCGCTTCCTGGGTTCCCCACTCATGTTCTCTCTGGTGCTCTTGCCAAGAGCAGACCATCGGCAAATCCTGTGTTTTTCTGCCCCATTGAAGCTTGAAGACAAGGCCTCCCTGCATGTGCAGGAAGAGTAACAGGGCAGTGAAGCATCGGGGGTTCAGTGGGTCCAGAAAATCAGTGTTTTAAGTCTCGACTGGCTTTGGGGCCTGGAGAAGCCAGTGGAACCCCAGGGAAGAGGGGAGCTGCTACCCAGGAAGTGCCCACCTCTTACTCTGCCTCCCACCACCCTCCCTCCCTGGGGGTCTGGAGGACCCCCATGGTCCCGGAGGCCGGCGTGGACGGCAGGGGTGCCATCGCCCGGGCCGTCCCGCGCTCACACCTCTCCCACGCCCACAGGTGCCCATGGCCCGCGCCAGCATCCTGTGGCTCATTGGGGAGTACTGTGAGCACGTCCCCAAGATCGCGCCCGACGTCCTCAGAAAGATGGCCAAGTCCTTCACAGCAGAGGAGGACATTGTCAAGCTGCAGGTCATCAACCTGGCAGCCAAGCTCTACCTGACCAACTCCAAGCAGGTAAAGACTGAGCAAGCGATGCCTTTCCCAGCGATGTCTGGTCCTGGCAACAGCGCCCCCCCACCTCCACGGGCCTCCCCGGGGGGGCGTGACCTCTGGCACCTCTTTCCAAAGAGCCGTTCAGGGCAGGTGGCGGGTCTGTCCCGATAGCCATTGTTCCCCCAGTGTCCGCAGTTACTCTGGGGGCCCGGGACCTGATGGGCTGGACGGCGGGCTCTTGGCTTCCCATGGGGGCCTTCTGACGGTGGCGTTGTGCTTCCCCAGCAGCCCCTTTGATCCGGGTGCTGGAGTGGGCCCCAGGGGCAGGCCGGGCAGGCGGAGGCCTGCTGTGCTGGGACCATAGTCAGGAGCGGGAAAGGGCAGTACTTACGGGTGGACACCACGGGCCCTGGGTCTGTGGGTGTCAGGACTGGCCGAGGAGGAGATCGCAGAGGGGAAGGCCAAGTGAGTGCCCTGGGAAGTGTTCCGTCTTCGGACAAACATCTGTGGGCCTCCTATGCTCAGAGGGGAGCCAGGAGCAGGCGAGAGGCACCCCATCTGAACGCAGATGGAGAGATGAAGCAGTGTGGGTGCGGAGCCATGCAGGTCGGGCGTCCGACAGGCTTGGGCTGAGCCAGAGTGCTGGGCCCCAGCACGGTGATGGAGTCCAAGGCCAAGAGGAGAGCCTGAAAGGACGGCCTCTTTTGCGGACCCAAGGCAGCTGCCAAGAGCTGGGGACCAGGCCCTAGCTGGTGTGGCTCAGTGGACTGAGTGCCAGCCTATGAACCAAAGGGTCGCCAGTTCGATTCCCAGTCAGGGTACCTGCCTGGGTTGTGGGCCAGGTCCCCAGTGAGGGGTGCATGAGGCAACCACACATTGATTCTTTCTTTCTCCTTCCTTTCCCCTCTAAAAATGAATAAATAAAATCTTTTTTTTTAAGTTGGGGTCCAGGGGTGAATGGAGCCGGTCTAAGAGGGGAGGGCAGCTCTGTGTGGGGGTGTTGGCGTTGGCTCAGAGAATTCTGGTTCTGAGACCCCCGCCGTCCCCAGCTCCCTGACCACTGCTGCCGCCCTCTCGTCCCCCAGACCAAGCTGCTGACCCAGTACGTGCTGAGTCTGGCCAAGTACGATCAGAACTACGACATCCGCGACCGAGCACGCTTCACCCGGCAGCTCATAGTCCCTTCTGAGCAGGGCGGGGCCCTCAGCCGCCACGCCAAGAAGCTCTTCCTGGCACCCAAACCGGCCCCCGTCCTGGAGTCGTCCTTCAAAGGTGGGGGCCGAAATCGGGAGGGATTGGCCAGGACCCTGGCCCCAGAGCTTCCACTTGAGCTCTCTGTCTCCGTGGGCCATGGGCGTTGCGGGCAGAGAAAGGCCAGTCCCCCGTACCTGTCCCCGCAGCACCCACGGCTGCTCTCCACCCACCCACAGCCACCACCAGCTTCCTCGAGGCCAGGTCCCTGCTCTCCAGTGGGTGGGCTGTCCCCTGCCGGGCTCTCTGTATCAGGATTCTAAGTATGAGGGCCCCGGAAGGAGGGAGTAAACACCACCCAGGGAGAGGTGCATGTCGGTGAGGGCCCTGACGAGGCTGTCGCCTGCACTCTGGGCGACCCCTGGAGGTCACACTCAGCGCCAGGCCCTTGGCCTGGCCTCTGGGACAAAGGCTCTGAGAGGGGTGGGTGAGGAGGGTCCTCACCTGGCTCTGGGGACCCAGGAACCCACAGAGGAGGGAGCCCCCTTCACGGAGCTTGGTTGTCCTGGCATCTTTTGCTTTTCTCTCCCCTGCACCCCTGTCTGAGGTGGCGGGGGATGGGGGGTGGATTTGAAAATCTGGGAAGAAGGGAAACCATCCCTTTCTCTCCCAACACCAACACTGACCCCCCTTGAAAGTCTCTGTGCTGGCCCCTCTGGGTCTGATGTCCTCCCGCGACCATAGGGGGCTGCTCACCCCTCAGCCCCCAACTTGGCCTGGTGAGCAGGATCACATGTACCCCCCCACTGCCTGGAAGAGGCGCCACCCTGTGCTTCCTCTGCCCCAGCCGGCAGGCCCGGGCAGAGTGGCCAGCAGCACCTGTAGGGCCAGAGTCCCCTCTGGCCCTCCTCTGCCATCCCACCCACCCCTCGGCCCTGTAAGGGTCAGGCCAGACACGCTTTCCTTCCAGCACACGGGCCTGAGGGTGCGGCTGGGGTGGAAGAGCCACTAAGGGGCACACCCACCTCCTGCATCCACCCAGCTAGGGCGTCCCCGCCAGAATCGCCACAGCCCCTGGGAAACAGCTCCCCGGGCAACACCTCACTGCCACCCTGCTTGACCTCTCACCTTGTCCCCAGACCGGGACCACTTCCAGCTGGGCTCACTGTCCCACCTGCTCAATGCCAAGGCCACGGGCTACCAGGAGCTCCCGGACTGGCCAGAGGAAGCCCCGGACCCATCCGTGCGCAACGTGGAGGTCAGCAGGGGTGGAGGCACAGACACGCGGGGAGCCCCCTGCCCCCCGTGCCGGCCCGGCCCTCCTGACACGGTCCCCACATACAGGAAGAAGATCTCTCCCTTATTGAGACCCACGTGGGCCTGTTGGGCGAATACACCGAGGTCCCCACACCTCCGTGTGCCGTGTGCCGTGTGCCCTCTGCTTGTGGGCAGTGTTTTCTCTCCCCATCCCCCCTGCCCCGGGCTGCACCCCTGTGCCTTCCCTCCCCTCTGCGTCTCCCTTGGTTTGGCAGGGTCCCTTCCCTCCCAGTGCTCCCCCCCCCCCCGCCCCGGGGCAGGGCCAGGTCGGGCCCCAGAAGAGTGGGGGTGAAGGATGAGAAGGCCTGTGCTCCCATGCCCCCTCCCCAACCACGATTTAACAGCCCTTCCCCCACTCCCATCCCCAGGTACCCGAGTGGACCAAGTGCTCCAACCGGGAGAAGAGGAAGGAGAAGGAGAAGCCCTTCTACTCAGACTCTGAGGGGGAGTCAGGCCCCACGGAGTCCGCAGACAGTGGTGAGAAGATTGAGGGCCGGGCCCTGTGCTGCTCCCCACGAGTGTGCCATGTGTGTGTGAGACGCGGTCGTGTACGCGAGGGGCATGCGCCTGCTGTGTACCTGCACATGCATCTGCTCACTGAAGGGCTCTGGTCCCAGGTGTGCACGTGCACATGCAGGTCTCTGCCCAGATGGCCCCGTCTGCATTGCAGGTGGTCCCGTGGCTCCTGGGACCAGGGTCAGGCTGGGGGGAAGGGTTGCAGCTTTGGTGCCAAGAGCCTGACTCCGGGAGCCCAGGGCACCTGCTCCAGACCCAGGAGCCCGAACGCAGGCAGGAGAGCCTGAGACTGTCCTCCACAGACCCCGAGTCCGAGAGCGAGTTGGACAGCAAGAGCAGCAGTGAGAGCGGCTCTGGGGAGTCCAGCAGCGAGTCCGAGGAGGAAGACCGGGAGGAGGAGGAGGAGAAGGGGAGGAGCAGTGAGAGGTAAGGGGTGGGACCAGAGGTCTCCCTGGGGAACTAAGGACTGAGAGCCAGCCTCCGGAGAGCCCCTGGGCCTCCCACACTGGGGCTCCTGGGGCTCCGAAGTTTGCAGCATGGAGAAGCATTTGGGGGCCAGGCTCCCCACCCTCACCCCCACTTTTCAAGGCGTCCCCACTCTCCTGTGAGGCAAGGAGGGGGAGCCCACCCAGTCGAGCCTGAATGCCGTGTGCCCCACCCCCGCCCCCAGTGAGCAGAGCGAGGAGGAAGGGGAGAAGAGCAAGTCGAAGACGAGGAAGAAGGTGACGAAGGGACAGGGGGAGGGCTCGTCCTCCGAGGAGGGCAGCGACTCCAGCAGCAGCTCCTCCGAGTCGGAGGGGTCGTCAGAGACCGAGGAGGAGCAGGCAGAACCTGCGTCCTGGCGGAAGAAGAAGGTGAGAGACTTGGGGGCGGAGGGGGCGGGGCGGGCCAGAGCTCACCGAGGTGGCACGTCCTTCCACGCCCACTTCCGTTCTCTCTCCAGCCCCCCAGCAGCAAAAGCGCCCCTGCAGCCCAGGAGGTCTCCCTGCTGGACCTAGAGGACTGTGAGTCTGGGCCCTAGAGGTCATGGTGGGGGGAGCCAGGGCAGTGACTTAGGAAGATCTGTGGGCGCTCTGGGTCGGGTTCCTCAGGGCTTAGGGGTTCGGGGAGCAGAGGGAACCTGTCCTCCAACCTGAGGGCACCAGGTGTGGGGCTGGGGTCAAGGGTGGGTCACCGCTGAGAGCCTCCAGGTTGCTGAGAGCCCCGCTGTCCGTGGTGCTGAACAGTCTGCTCCTTGAGCCCCGCCCGGTTCGGGCCAGTCCCACGTGGCCTCTCCCCATCCGCGGTCTTCCTCATCTGCCCCCACAGTCGCCCCGCCGAGCATCCAGCCTGTGTCCCCACCCGCGGCCGTGTCCACCAGCCTGGCTGCAGACCTGGAGGGCCTGACCCTCACGGACTCCCCGCTGGTGCCCTCGGTGAGGGGACGGGACAGTGAGGGGAGTGGACAGGCCGGGGCTGTGTCCTGTGGTGTGGATCTGGGGGTCCGGTGCAGTGGAGGGGAACGCCCAGGTCCCCGTTGCCCGGTGACCCCTCCCCCAGGTGGGGACCTGGCCAGGGCAGTCTTCCTGTTGCTCATTTCCGCACTCCCCCTCGTCTCCCCCCCCCCAGCTGCTGAGCCCCATGTCGGGGGTCGGGAGGCAGGAGCTGCTGCACCGCGTGGCAGGCGAGGGCCTGGCCGTGGACTACACCTTCAGCCGCCAGCCTTTCCCTGGGGACCCGCACATGGTGTCCCTGCACATCCACTTCTCCAACAGCTCCGAGACGCCCATCAAGGGCCTGCATGTGGGCACCCCCAAACTGCCTGCTGGCATCAGCGTCCAGGGATTTCCTGAAATCGGTGCGGCTCCGGGCAGGCTGGGGGCTGGGCGCTGGGGGCCCAGAGGGCTTCTAGCCCAGCCCCTGCCCTGGGGGGCAGGACAGACCAGGCAACAAGCGAGTGCAGATCAGGGCAGGGGTCGCTGGAGGCTTGGTCGTTCCGACGCTGACAAGTGGTCATTGGAGGGTGGGGGGAAGGTTGTTTAGATTTAGGTGGAAAACCAGGAGCGGGCTCCAGGACCCAGGAAGCTAGGAGTGCCGGGTCAGGTCTGGCAGCAGAGGGGAGCCGGGACCGGGATTCGGGTCTGTCAGGTGATGGTGCCTCTCCCCCTCCCGCCTCACCTCTGCAGAGTCCTTGGCGCCCGGAGAGTCTGCCACTGCTGTCATGGGCATTAATTTCTGCGACTCGACCCAGGCGGCCAACTTCCAGCTGTGGTGTGTGTCCCATCTTGTGGTGGGTGGGAGGATGGGCTGGGGGAGGTGGGGTCACAGTGTCCTGGAACCGGTAGGGAGGTGGCAGTGAGGGGGGTGCTGGGGGAGGAACATCGTGCTGCAAAGGGTCTGGACACCATCCCCAGCTCTCAGGTCTTGCTCCAGTCTCCTGCTGCCTGCAAGCCCCGCCCCCAAAGTGGGAGGCCCAGGGGGGATGCCGGCCTCACCGGTCTGCCTCCCCGGCTTCTCCCCTCTACCCCAGCACCCAAACCCGACAGTTCTACGTCTCCATCCAGCCACCGGTTGGGGAGCTGATGGCCCCCGTGTTCATGAGTGAGAATGAGTTCAAGAAGGAGCAGGGTGAGTGCCCCCTGAGGGTGGACAGGGTGCGTCTCAGCAACCTGCTGGGGGGCCCAGTGAGCTCCAGCACCCAGCCTTGCCGGAGGGCCCTCGGCTCCTTCCAGACGGGGAGGCCCCGCAGCCGGCACCTTTGCAGAGGCTGGGACCGTCAGGGAGGCTTTGGGGAGTGTCCGCCAGGCTGGCCGAGAGAATTCTGGGCCCACATTCCAGCCGGGGAAACATCACCAGTGAGGGCTGGAGAAAAGTTTTCAGGAAGAAAAGGGGGTGCTGTTTAGTTTGGGGCATGGAGTCCCCAGGACAGGGGAGTGGTAAGCACAAAGCCAGAAATAGAGTTGGGTCTAACTTCTGGGTGCCTTGGGCTTCTGTCCTAGAGTTTTTCAGAGCTGGCAGGGGTCACAGAGGTTGGCGGGTCCCGCTCCGCTATTAGAGGAATGAGCCCTGCAGATTCCGTTTTCCCAGCAGTGGAGCCCTGGGAGGTGACTGTGGGGAGGGGACCAGGCAGAGGCCGGGCTCCCGCGGCAGGAGAAACAGGGACAAGCAGGAGAAACAGGGACAAACGGGGGACGGGGCTCCAGAGCCCTGGTTTAGGTTCTGAACCTGCACTCCCTGGGTGTGTGACCCTGGACCAGATTCTGTGACCAGCTACAAGGCCGTTGTGGCAGATCTGAGAGATGGTGAGAACGAGGATTAGAGCCGGGAGGAAGGGAGTGAGGGGGCGGGACTGGGAAGAGGTAAGTCACAGGCAGTTCACCTGAGAAGGGGGAGAGGGAGGCCTGGAAGCTGTTGTAGAATTTGGGCTCGGGTGGTGGAGACTGGCAGCACCCCTCGCCTAGACTGGGGGGCGGGGTCAGCACACGCTGTCTGTAACGTGCTGTAAACCCCAGTACACGGGCTCTGTGGGCCATGCGGCCTGCGCTGCAGGCACCATTTCAGGCCCCCAGGGGATGGATGCCTGGATTTGGCTGCAATTTGCCAAACCTCTGCTCTGGTAGACGAGAATGGGTGCCAGCGAGGGAGGAGGGAAGGTCACGGCCAGCTTTGGGCAAGCCGATTCTGCAGTGCGTTCTGGAAGTTCAGGAAAAGGTGGGTCTGTGCCCAGGAAGCACTTCTGGGCTGGAGTCACGCTGTATCAGTGAGCTCACTCTGGAGAGGGGGGAGGTGGGGGAAGGTGAGAGAGCCAAGGGCCTCCCCTAGGAAAACTTGCATTCTTCGGGGCAGGGGTAAGAGAAGCAACAAAGGAGTAGGTGCGGGGAGAACCAGGGCCCCGGGGGAAGGGGTCTGCAGGCCAGGAGGACCAGAACCATCAGAGCCAGCTTCAGAGAGCCAGTCGGGTTGCAGAAGGGGGCAGAGGCTGGCCCAGCCAAGGGACGAAGGGAGGTGGAGTCCTCCAGGAGGGCTTTGGCCAGGGGAGTGGAGAGGAGGGGAGGTCTGTCTGCCCAGGGAGGCATTCCCGCAGGTGAAGTCAGGGGTCGCCCTGTGAAGGCTGCATGGGCCCCCTGGGCCGGGAGTGCAGCAGCCACAGCCTCCCTGAGGACTGAGCCCTGATCAGGAGCTCGAGGGGACTGGAACTCGGTTGGGGAGCCAGCCAGGGAAGGCCAAAGGGTGTGGGGTCCAGGCTGGAGGAGACCTCTAAGAAGGGACTGGACACTCCTGAGGGGCTGGGGCCCAGATGTCTGACGGTGGGGAGATGCCAAGTCAGTCTGTGGTCTGCAACATGGATGGACCCCTGGCAGGCTGGGAGGTCCCCCTTCCCGGGACCACTGGGTGGGACTCAGGCCGGCCCAACCTGAGGGCTGGTGAGAAAGCTCAGCGGGCAGCCTGGGGCGAGGCAGCCTCTGTCCTCATCACGACCTCTGCCCCCAGGAAAGCTGACAGGCATGAATGAGATCACAGAGAAGCTCACGCTGCCAGACACCTGCCGGAGTGACCACATTGTGGTGCAGAAAGTGACTGCCACTGCCAACCTGGGTCGTGTCCCTTGTGGGACGTCTGACGAGTACAGGTACTGGGCCCCTGGCGAGGAAGATGGGGGCTGCTGGGCCTGGTGTGGAGTGGGGGGGGCCATCCCCGAGGCTAAGCCCTTCCCTCTGCCCCCACCCCCTGCCTCAGGTTTGCGGGGAGGACACTGACCAGCGGGAGCCTGGTCCTGCTGACCCTGGTGGCACGGCCCCCTGGACCTGCCCAGCTGACAGTCAACAGCGAGAAGATGGTGATCGGCACCATGCTGGTGAAGGACGTGGTGCAGGCTCTCACCCAGTGACTCGGGTGCTCTGGCTTCTTTGACCCCCGCTGGCTTTCCCATGTGACCATGACGCCTGGGCTGTCAGCACCCGCCCCACTCGCCCCCACTCTCCCCCCCTCTGGTGTGAGACACTGCGTGCCAGAGGGTGTTCAGGGCCCCTCTCCCCCTCTGGTCATTAACAGGTTCCCTCCCGGGCCTCCCCATGGGCTCCTTAGTGACCCCACGTGCAGAGGGACATGGCGGCTGCTCCCCAGCCCCCACCGCTTTCTGTAGCTGTTTCTGCAGCACCTTCTCAATAAACGGCTTCTCCCCAGTTGCTGGCTCACCCCTCCTTTCTTCCAGGCTCTTAAGGGGCTGGGGGGAGCGTGTAAGGCATTCCGTGTCTGACCCTCGTGAACGACCACTGCTGACCTCCCAGGGAGGCCGTGCATGACTCCCAGAGGTGACTGGTGGGACCCCCTGCCCCAGGTGACCATCACCAAGTCACCAGGCGTCTCTGTGCAAGGGACATCTGAGCAGGGATGAAGGGCCCTGGTCCTTTCCATGAGCCTCTTCCACACCCGCAGTACCCACTGGTCCCTTGGAAGGGGGACTCATAATGTGAGGAATTCTCCAAGAAGGGGTGAGGTTCTAAATAGGCCAACTACATCTGGATACAGGGCCTAGAGCCCCAACCTGGCTGGGGAGGTGACCCAAGTAGCCGTCTTGCAGGGGGAAGGGGGAGGGCAGGTGCGGGACAGGGCCTCTCACCGGTTGTACTGACCTGCATTCAGAGCAGGAGGCCTGGGGGGGCTCGAGGTCCTGCATCTCCAACACAGTCCCAGCCACTGCCGCTGCTGACCCGTGAACACCAAGGGGGTAGGAGACCCAGCCTTCGACCCCCGGGACGGCTTCCTGGGGGTGGCAGCGAGTCAGGGCCCCTGCCGCCTTTCCTGGTGAGTGCGCAGTGTTTCCAAAAGGTGTCAAAGGTGTCTGCTGGCACACATCCTTTTAAAAGAAGTCTGTGACTGCGTAAGTTTAGGAGTCATGGATTTAAGTAAGCTTCTTTCCCGAAGGCCCTCTCAGAGCCTTTACTATGCTAATGCGCATTGTGACCGCCCCCCACCCCCAGGGGCTGGAGCTCAGTGCTACCCAACCTGGTGTGGACCTCCGAACGCTCTGCCCCAGGATGTCTGGAGGGACTGGGTTCTGAGGAACACACCCCAGTGAGAGCTGGCGGTATGCACCCCCATCTCTGCTCTGCCGCAGCCACAGCCCTGACGCTGAGGCACCCTGAGCAGCTGTGTTCAGGGTGGAGCAGGTGTGAAGGCAGCGCCGGGGGACACCCTGCCCCTGGCTCCAGGGACTTGCTGGGCTCTGTGGCACCACACAGCAGCTGGAGCCACTGCTTCTCTGAGCGCCCAGGGACCCCAGAGTCTCCCTGGGGTCCCTGTTGTCACCCCAGGTTCTGAGGTAGAAGTGAACCCCTGCCGAGGGCAACTGAACGGGGGGGACTCCGCTTCTGTCTCTGGATCGGCACTGCCCCTGTGTGAGGAAGGAGGTGGGGGACATTTCCTAAGACACAGCTGCACAGGGAGGGTTTTGGAGAGGGGGGTGGGAGTGAGTAAGGCAGAAAGTGTCCCCAGCAAGGGTGGGGTGGGCCATTAACTGGACCCAGGAGGTCGCAGGGTGGTCTGAGCCTGACTTGACCACAGGCCTCAGCAGGTTGGAAGACAATGAGCCTGGTGAGGGACTGGGAACGGGAGCCCAGTCCAGGACAGCAAGTGGGGAAGAGAAATGGCTTCAGCGTCTGGCCAGGCTAAGGCAACCTGTGAGACGCAGTGACTGGAGAGCAGACCCACCCAGGGATGCCCAGGAAGCTGTGGGGACCCCAGGGGCGAGGTCAGCTGTGCCCACAGCTGAAACCCCATCCAGCGGCTGTGCTCACTCAGCACTTTGTACTGGGCGGCTTGAAGGTTGTTTTGCAGCGTAGCCTGCAGATCAGAGGGGTGAGTGTTGGCTGTGTAATGGGACTAGGCCTGGCCTGACTGGACGAAGGAAACTAGGAAAATGGTGACCCACCAGGGGGCCCAGGCCCTGGACAGCCAGGGTCCTCACCGCTCCTGACTCCCAGGCACATTCAGGGCCTTTCGGTCACCCCGTTTCTGCTACGGCGCCACATGACAAGGGGATGGAGGAGGCCTGCCTTGGGTCACTCCTTCCTTGTCTGGCATTTCCTGGACAGCACTTGTGCTGACAAAACCTGGTCAGTTTTGTCTTCCAGGGTCAAAAGAAGGATGGCAAATAGTGCCTGGAAGGTGACACCCAGGTAGAGGAATGGAGAACGGGGTCATGGCGGACTGTCCCCAGAGACGCCGGTGCACCTCCCTGGGTCATCCACTTGATGGTGCTGGTCTGGCCCCTTAGCTGCCCTGTCCCCACCCTGCTGGCCCGGCTACCAAGATTACACGCTTAGGATGGCAGTGTTTGATCCCAACTGTTGGGAACCCCTGTCCTCACGGCCCCTGTAATGCAGAGGACGCTTAGTCTCTGAGGCCTCGCAGCTGAGCGGGGCGGCCAGTGCTGGGAGTGCCCACATCCGTTGAACGTGTCACTTCTTATTGGGTGCCAAGGACCCTCCAACTTTAGCACGCTTCACCTCTTGCACCACAGGATTCTGCCCAAAGGGAGCCGCCCCACAGCGTCCCTGGGGTACCTGGAGGACAGAGGGGGGCAACAGCCCAGAGAACAGTGCTCACCTGGCTGGAATCCCCACACACACACGTCCCCACCTTTAGAACTATTTAATCAAAGCTATGTAAAATATACATATTTATTTTTGGAGAGAGAGGAAAGGAGGGAGAGAGGCGAGAAACATCAGTGTGTAGTTGCATCTCCCGTGCCTGTGCGCCCCCTACTGGCCACCTGGCCTGCAACCCAGACGTGCACCCTGACTGGGAATCGAACCTGTGACCCTTTGGTTTGCAGGCCCATGCTCAGTGCACTGAGCTATACCAGCCAAGACTAAGAAAAACTTTTAAGTATGATATTCACACAGAAAACTGTATAGCTCACAAGTGTGCAATTCAACATGTTCTCATAGGATGCATAACCCATGGAAACATAGTGTGACTCTTGCCTGTCCCTTGCCTCCTTCTAGTTTGGGGCAGTGTTTTATGCTACTCAGAGGTCACAGAGCCTTGAAACGGTTCAGCACCAGACTCCAAAAGGCAGTGGGACCCCAGAGGCCAGCATGGACATGGGACTTGTAAACACGATGGCACATGCTGCTCTCCTGGGCTTCTGGGGACTCCTTTCCAACAACCCAGGGGCGGGTTGTGGAAATAAGCAGATTGTCTTGTTTTCTGACTGAGGGAGAATGTGAGGAAAGGACCTCTTCCCGGCTTGGGCAAGGTGACCATGGTCTAGGCCTCAACCCCAGTGTTCTGCTACCCCCTCCTGTGGGGGTGGTGGGTGTGAACAACAGGACCCCGTGGAAGGGTCATTTCTGAGATTAGGTCACAGAAATCACTGCCCCTCCATCCGGGCATCTCTCTTTTGCTCTCTCATTTGCTGGAGAGAAAGCCAGCCGCTCTATGGGGTGTCCGGGGGAGGAGGCAGGAAGGGAGCTGGGAAGCAAGTCCTCCGCCTGCAGGCATGGCTCCCAGTGACTGTAGCTCGGGCCGAGGGCGTGACTGTGACCTCAGGAGACCTGGGCCAGAGCCACCCAGCTCAGCACTCTGGGATCCCTGACTCTCAGAAATTGTGTGAGTTGGCAAATATTTCTTATGGACGGCAATACAAACACAGCCCAGCCCCAGACCCATCTCTGAGGGTGTGGGAAAAGGCTTCGGGGCGAGTGGCTGGTGAGTGCTGGCTGGGGAGCGCTGCGTGTTCCGCTTTCAGGAAGTCTCCAGAGTTTCAAGCCAGCCAGCTGGCGTCACATTAGTAGTTTGAAATCAGCTGCAGTGGGAGAAATAGGTGACTGCTGCAAACCATCCCCTCCCCACAGCCAATGGCCAAACGTGTTCTGGAGCAACACTTCCCTCAGTTTTCGCCATCCCTTCATTTTTTTAAAGTCATAATGACACAGGTCAAGGTTAAGAATAAAACACCAACTGCCTGTGTATGGATCACCTTGTTGAACTAGTAAAGCACTTAGGAATTCAGTGTGTTCCTTGTACCACTCATTTCACAAGCTCTTCCCTCCCCGCCTGAAGGAAATCATTATTCTCAGTTTTCTCTTTATTAATACCACACATTTTTTTGTACTTTTATTACATACGGATGTGTTCCTAGCCAATACATAGTATTGGGCTGAATGATAACAGTGGACTGTGTTTTAAAATTGTATATAAATGGCACTGTAGAGTATGTACGCTCCTAGATCCTGCTTTTTTTCACGCCATTGTTTCTGAGCCATCCATGTTGATACGATTGGTTTTATGTCCTTTACTTTTATTTCTATATAGTATTCCATTGTATGACTATACCACAATTTACTGACCCACTCTCCTGTTGGTAGGCATTTCAGATTAGTTTATTTCATTTCTGCAATTATGAGTAGCATAGCTACAGACATTTTTACCCATGCCTCTTTTAACATGCATGAAAGCCGCTGTAACATGTCCCAGGAGTGGAGCTGCTGGGTCATGACATATACACACCTGCAACTTGTTAATATCTCCTAGTTGCTCGCCAGAATCAGCCATGAGCTGAACATGAAAACATTCACAGCATCCTTATTCATAATCATTTCCAAATGGGAAACAATTCAAAGGCCAGTCAACAGGAGATGAGAGAAGAAAATGATGGTATACCCATATAATGGAATACTACTTACCAATAAAAAAGGCCTGGCCATGTGACAACATGGATGAATCTCACAGACACCACATTGACTGAGAGAAGCCGAGTGCATCTACAAAGCTCTGGGCCCACAGGATGAACCTGCGAGGAAAGCAGGAGGAATGGCTACCTCAAGGAGAGGGTACGACGCAGAGAAGGCATGATGGGACGCTATGGGAGGTGGTTACTCGGGTATACAGGTAGGTAAAAAAAAAAAAAGCCATACACGTGTTATTCCTCACTAAAAAAAAAAAGTAGAAAAGAAAGGCAAAAACCAGTGTATACCCTCACCGCCAGTGGCCCGCCAGTGCACAGTGAGACTTCATTTTTCCTGAGACGGGTGAAATGGGCCCTGATGAGGTCTCACAGGTGCCCCCCGCTGAGTGCTGAGCATAGGCACCTAATGATGTGTTTGTTGGCTGTTTGGGTTTCCATTCCTGTCAACTGCCTGCCCTTATTATCTTTTGCCCATTTTTCTACAGGTGTTTTTTTCCCTCTTTGTAGAGTTCTTTTCTTTTTTTTTTAGGTTTTATTTATTTATCTTTAGAGGGGAAGGGAAGGAGATAAATATCAATGTATGGTTGCCTCTCATGCGTCCCCTGCTGGAAACTGGCCTGCAAGCCAGGCATGTGCCCTGACTGAGAACTGAACTGCGATCCTTTGGTTCACAGGCCTGCGCTCAATCCACTGAGCTTATACGCCAACCAGGGTGTTTAAGTTCTTATGTGTTCTGGCAACTAGACCTTCGTAGATCACGTATTGCAAACACTGGTTTTCCTGTCTATGGCTTGTCTTCCAGTTTTAAATATCTTCTGATAAGCCAAAATTTTTAATTCCCATGTCAAATTTATCAATTTCCACTTATAGCCTGTGCTTATTGTGCCATGTTTATAAAATTCATTCATACTTACTAAATAAAATTTAAAAAAAAAAGAAAGAAAAAAAATTCATTCATACTTGGAGGTAATAATATTTTCTTGTAAAAAATGTCCAAGTAATGCTCTTCACATTTGTATTTTTGACTCACTTTAAATCGATGTTCACGTGTGACAAAAGGTAGGGCTGATCCACTTTCTTTTCTCTCATGTAAAGGACACAAGAAACACAAAGAATGGGGTTCATTCTGCAAGGGCTTGGCAGAAGTGGAGCCAAGACTGAGAGCTCACTTCCCCTTGTAGCCGCAAGCTCCTAAATAGATGTGCTTTCTAATCCTGTCCAGCCAGGGAAATTATTTCTCCCAGCAATCTCCAGTCTTCTGAGCTGTCTGCCCACCATGGAGCACCCAAGTGTGTGAAAGACCCCAGGGTCCTCCTGTCCCCCTACCACAGGCACTGAAGACTTAGTCCGGCCAGCTAGTTCCATTAAAACCTGGACTGTGAATCTGGGGCTTGACTGCAGGGATGGTGCCAGGCATAGCTGGGCTCAAAGGCTGTTTGTTGACAGGGAGAATGGATAGTGCCGCCCATTTGTTCCGGCTACTTCTGCCAGTGACCAGCTGTGGGGACCTGACCAAGTCATTTAATACCTCCGCTTCTGCCACTTTCTACAGCCTTCCCTGTGGATTGTGGACGCCTAGTCAGAGGTGCTGCTGTCCCTGTATATTCTGTAGGCCTGGCCAATAAGGGTGGGGAGCAAGGGCCCACTCACAGGAGGCCATGACTGCGTTTGAACTTGGCCACCCATCCCTGCACTGTCCACAGTGAGCTCTGGGCTTGGGAAGTACAAAGTGAACACATAAGGTTGCTGTGGGTGTCATCTGGTTAGGACTTCAGTCTCTGAAGCCAGAACCCTGCCTGGGCTCTTCTACTTCTGGTGGGGAATCTTCGGGCTGGTTACTTCACTTCTTTAGGCTTCAGTTTCCTCATCTGGAAAATGGGTTCACACAAGTAAACCACTTAAAACTGTGACAAGCACAGAGTATGAGCTCAGCGAAGGCCACCTATTATTCTGTTACCTCAATAGGAAGTTTAAGTTTAGGACAAGGGAAGGGGTTTCAGCAACAAAAATTTCTGTTTTAAATCACCTGAAAGGTACCTTCCTTTTCTTATGGCTGGGAATTTAAAACATGAAAGAGCTCCCAGATACCTGTTCCGGGTTTCAGATCCACAGGAAGGGGTGGAGAGGATCACAGGTCGACAGCCAGGGAGCTGCCTGGTGCCCTGGTCCAGTCAGGCTTGGCTCTTAATCTGAGTTAGTGATCGCCTTTAAAATTAGGAAGATTTCACTGGGACTTCATTCCTCCATGGCGCCCATCAGCTCATTGCTCTTTCTGACATACCTTCTAGGTGCTCTTGCCCACCCTCACTTGGCACCCCTGCTGCTAGCATCTGGGTGTGGCACCCCTTTCCTGGAGCAGCGCCCTGCACTGTTCGTGGGCCAGGGTGAGACATCGGGATGGGCTGCTCCTGGAGAAGGAAGGACCCCACGAACCTGAACCAGAGGTGTGCATTCCTGGGCGGCTGCAATGAGCCCACTTGAGGAAGGGCGGATGGCTCAGCAGCTCTGAAGGAGAAGGCAGAGTGAAGACCCCGAAGACTAGGGTTGCCAGGGACCCTCTCCACCGGCCCCTGCAGCCACCCCCTCTCTGCCCATGACCTCAGCAACCCATGCAAGTCCTCCGCAGCGATATTCTGTGGATGGAGAAGGGCCAGCTCTGTCACTCTGAGTCCTTGTGAGGACTTCTCCAGCGTCGTGGTTCTTACCCTGGCCACCTTCTCCCATTAATCCTCCTGAAACACTGGGCACACCACTCACTTCCTTTCCTTCCACTGCCCCAGGCAGAAACCTAGTTACCGGCCGCCTCCCCTTAGCCACGAGATCCAGGCCAGCCTCACTAGCCTGCCAGGGAGGCTGCAGCCCCCACTTCCCAATAGCCAGGAGGAGTCTGGAGCAGTAAGTCCTTTGCCAATGTGTTCGCATGATGAGGTAACACATAGAAACCACTCAGAAATGATCAACAAACGCTGGTCCCTTTCCTCCTTGTTCCAGTTCCTTGTTTCTCCCGTTTTTCTGTGCAGCCTCTACTAAGTCTCCAGTATCGTCTTAAAAGAACTCGATACCGCCATTCTCCTGTTTACAATGGTTAGTCATTCCCGGCTGTCTACAAAATAAAGGCCCTTCCTTCTCAAACTGGGCCCCGGCCTCCTTCCTGGGATGCCAGCACGCCTTATCCCCTGCGGTGGTCGGATGGTGCCACTTGTTCAGTCCCCCTTTCCGCCTCTACCCTGTGTCCCCCGCCTGGAGGGTCACCTCCACCTCTGCGCTGGCCTGGGGCTTCGGTCCGCTCCTGCCCCAGCCTCCCCACCCCAGGACGCCTTTCCAGACAACGGCCCGGTTTTCTCTCTCAACCGTGACACCCTCCCGGCCCCTTCTCCGTGAACCTACCCGTCGTAGTCCCGCAAGAGTGTCGGAGCGGTTTCTCCTGGGAACTGCGGTCCAGAGAGGACCCCTGGCGTCTTTGGAAGTTTCCGGAGTCCCCGGACGCCCGCCTCCGGCTGCCAGCGCCGGGAGCAGCCAGCTTAGTGTGGGCGCGCCTGCTGGAGCCGGGGCGCAGGCTCGCTCGGACAGGGACGCCCGGGGTTGGCTCTCGCCCTGGAGGGTTCCTCGGAAGGAGCGGAGCGTGGATACCGGAAAAAGGGCTTTCCTGACCAAAAGCAACGCCGCCGCTGCGTCGCAGGGCTCGTCAATCTCGCTCTATTTCACAAGGGGTAAACCGAGGACCAGCAGGATGAGTGACTTGACCAGGGTCACTAGGTGAGTGGCGCGCTCAGGTGTGGGCCTTTGGCCTCCAACGGGGTGCAGCTGTGGCCGCTCCCGTCCTGGCGCCGGGCTCCCGGGGGCGGCTGAGCCTCGGCCTCGCGCGCTGGAAGGGGCGGGGCGGAGGCGGGGGCCCGGGCGGGGCCGACACAGGTGTTTCGCATCCAGCCGGGGGAGCGGCTCCGCGGGGCTTTATAAGCGGGTCCCGGGTGTGGCGCTGTTCGCGGCTTGCTGCAATAGTAGTGCGCACGTGTCTGCGCGTCCTCCGCCGCGCCGGCCCGCCGCCCGTCAGCCGGTCCGTCCGTCCCGCAGGACCGCACCGGCCCTATGGCGTTCCCGCTGGTAAGAGCCGCCGCCGTCCGCCAGGGCGGGGCCGCAGTCCTGGCTGTGGTAGCTAACGGTGCGCGCAGCCTCAGCCGGTCCGCGGGACCCCCCTCCCCCGCCCCGGTGTGAGCAGGGCCCGGGCGGGGTGCAGGTCACGTGCCCGCGGGCGTGGGGCCTCGCTGAGGGGGTGACTGGCGGGAGGGGGGGGGCAGGGCGTCTCCTCGTGACTCAGGGCCTTTGGGTTTAAAGGCGCCGCGGCCCTCTGGGGGCGGCCAAGAGGGCCTCTGAGCTGCGGTGCAGACTCCCAGTGGCCTCGAGTGTCTGTCCAGACGGGAGCTGAGCCCACGGAAGGAAGCCCTTGCTCGGGAAACCTCCTTTCTCCTATAGCCGTCGCACATGAGCCCTGAAGCCTCTGGCGCCTCACCGGAGCTCACGCGACTCTCAGCGGCCACCCCACCCCCACCCCCACCGCGACTCCTGCTTATACTGAGCAGGCGGCAGGGCGGGCGGCCCGGGTGGGGCGGGACTCCTGGCGGTCGGCATCTTCGCGAAAGCCACGACGGCAGCGGTGCGGCTCCTTTAAGGCGGAGGGATCGTCCCCTCGTGCTGTGCTTGCTGCTTTAGCCCGAGAGGTCACGTGGCTTCACACGTTCTATTGCCGCAGGAGCCCGGCTGGCCAGGTGGGTGTCGCGCAGCTCGGGGGCTGCGCACGTGCGACTCGGCTTCGCGTTCTGAGGTGGCTCCTGGGGACCCGGGGGATTGGGGACATGTAGGGTGGGGTGGTGACCCCGGCCCTGGCGCCGGGCCACAGGAGACCGGTGCACAGGGCCGCGGCTCTGTCACATTCTCCTCAGCTGGGATCCCGACCGGGGGCCCCAGTTCAGATGAGGGGTGGTGCTGACTCAGCTGTGGCCACAGGTGCGGCGGGACAGTGGTCGGGGACCAACGAGGTTGCCCATTTGGCCACCATGCTGGTGAGGAAGGCTGTGCCCGCTTGGAGCCTCGGGGTCCTGGCAAATCCGGCCTTTAAACCCAAAGGAAAGGCTACACACCCCGGGTTGTCGTGTTTGGCGGCCCTCCCGGGACTTTTCTGCGCGTGGGTGTTGGGTGCGGTCAGGCCAGGTCGGGTCGACCCTGACTTTGTTGCCTGGTTCCCAGGCCAGGGTCCTGTAAGCGGAGCGGTGCTGCCCAAGGGGCTGGGAACGCCCCACATCTTGCCGCGACGGGGCGCCCTGCAGGTCCCACCCCTTCGCACGGTGCCCTGCGGTGGGGGGCTTGGGAGGGACGGTGGACCCTGGAACCACAGCAGGCCCACCCCACCCCCCGCGGGCTGGGCTCCTGGCTGTGCCTCCTTGGTCTCCTCTCCCCCTGCCCCGCCCTGCTGGCACCGGAGCAAACTGCTCTGTGCCATTGGCCGGGCGGAGCTGGCCCTCAGGAAGGCCCAAGTGGACTGCCAGCCTCGGGTCCACCACGCGCCGCTCCTCAGGTGCCACCTGCGAGCGTGTGTGCTGAGGATAGCTTGTAGTAGCCTTGGGCATAGGTCCTCTTCGAGCCTAGGCACAGGGGTAGGCCTAAAAATAAATGATGCGGAGCTTGGAACCAGGCTGACCAAACCTTGGAAGTCTCAGCGTGGTGGAGGTGCTGGTGCCTGGTCGGGTGGTTTTTGTTGTTGTGGAAAGAAGCTTGATGTCTGGAGCTCAGGGGAACTCTGTGCTGTGAGGAGCCCTCTCAGGACAGGTGACAGGTGTGTGCAGGCTCACCGCCTTTCCTGACTCAGCTTTGCAGAGCTCATCAAGTTTGTTTCTGTCACGGCAATTCCACATGAACGTGAGTGGCCCGGCAGGCAGTGCATACCCCCTTGCTTGAGGGAGCTAGAATTGGGACATTGCCAGTTGCCAGTTACGTGTGTGAGTACATTCTTGGCCCTCCAAAGCCTGGGCTCGGACCCACGTCCCCCGGTGGAGTGGAAGGGCAGCAGTGTCCATCTGTGCAGTGGACAGGACGCTGGGGGGCTGATGCATGAGGTGGCGATGGTGGACCAGGGCCTCAGTGCTGTGGTGCACAGAACGTGCAGGAGGATGATAAAAGCAGTAAGTTTGGTAAACACCAAACTTGCCAACAGCGAACATAATAGCCATCTTAGTATTTTCATGGGTCACCACGCTGTTTATTTTGTTTTTAATCCTTAAAGTGGGATGCCGACCGAAATCCCTTCAGGGGCTGGAAGTAATTTAAAAGAATAGACGGAGAGGAAGTGGGGGTGTCTCTAAAGCAAGCAGCCTGGGGCTGGTGTCATGGTGCAGAAGTATGAGCCCTGAGTTGTGGATCTTTGGCTTTTGTTCCTGGTTAAGCCACCCAGCCTTTCCGTTAAATGGTTAAATGAGGCCATTAAAATGTCCTAAGCACTGTATAGATCAAAGATAACATCTCTGAAGATTGGACACCACCTGAGGGCCAGTTTCCATTCTGTCTTTGAAATGTCCCTTTTTCATACACCACCACCACCACCACCCTAGGCTGTGCAGATGGTGACACAGGCTCGGAGATCACATCTGTCACGAGACTGCTAAGTGATAAACCGGGGTGTAAACCTAGGGCTTTCTGGTGTCATCCCTCAACCTCTAGGACACTGTGTTCGTCTGTGAGAGAGGTGAGGGGTTGTTGGTGGTGTGCCTTGCACAGAAAACACAGTGGTCTGAGGGCCGCTCGCAGTGAACCTTCACTGGGTGGGAGGGACTGGTGGCAGGGAAGGCAGTGTGGGTCTCCTGGGCTTTGGTGTGGCGGTGCTGACAGCAGGAGGAATGTGCTGTGTCTGTCATTCCTGGACGTGTGAGACCCATTAGCTGAGCCTGGGAGGGCCTGGGCGAGATATGTAGCAGGCAGGCGCCTCCCAGGCTCTGCACCAAACACTTGGCGTTTTCAGAGCAGTTTCAGTAACTTCTTCCTTCAGAGACGAGGCAAATTTGAAATTATGTCATCGTTTTCAAGATTTACAAAGCACGGGGTTTATTAAATCTCACCTCTTCTCTAAAGTTCTCATAATCCTGTCTTAGATTTCCGGGAAGAATTAATAAGGGTTTTGGTACTACCCGGGAGAATCTTCTGGGATGAACTCTCAGGGCATCACGTAGTCTTGCGCCAAGAAAGAGAGTCTGGACTTAGATTGTGGGGGAAATTTAGAATCCCAGCAGTGTCCTCAGACACACTAGCAACATAAAGGGATATTTACCTTTACTTCTGTACCTTATTCCTAAAGCAGTTAAAACGTAAAACAGTGAAGAGCATATTTGGAGCCTTTGCCAAAATGGTTTCTCCGTGAGAATGCAGACTCGGATACAAACTAGATGGCTTTTTCTTTTTTAAACTGTGGTCTGGGAAGTTTTGGGAAAGATGGACACTTTAAAATATTCCTCATCCCCAACTGCTTCTCTAGCAACCTTTACAGGTCAGTCCCCAAGTCCTCACAGGTGGGGGTTTGGGAATTTGGCGGGGAAGGGCAGGGGTGGCTAAACCAGCCCTCTGCTGGTGTTTCAGAGTTCATGTGCTAGGTCCTGTCTGCAGACTTTCTCATTCATTGCCTCCAGGTCCCTCAGCGAAATCACTGTTTCTGAAATCCGCCCGTGTTGGTTTAAAAGGAAAATTAATCAGTGAATTTGTAGGTCTGGTTGGAAGTTTGGGGCAGGAATGCATACCAGACCTGGAATGAATGTTTAGGCTATTGTCTTCAGCAGGTAGGGGTGGAGGCAGTAAAACATGGGATCACATAACAAACAAATTATTTTCTCCCCTGTGGAAGAGCTGTGCTAATCCCACCCTATTCTGCGTATTTGCTTTTCCTAGCCAGTATCTAAGCTGTGCTGACTCTGAGGAGAACTTGCCAGAAAGTGGCCGGGTAGGGGGGTGGGAAGGTAGGGAGTGAGGGGTGGGAGAGTGGTTGCACCTTCAGGTTGGAGTGGAGGAGGGTACAGAAAGAATTTTTGCTTCTTTCTGTCTGAGGTAAAACCAAGAAGCCCTCATGGCCCCATTCAGGGTTTAGTCAGCCTTTTGCTTGCCCCCTGCTTTTGTCCCCCACTTGACAGCTTCGGAAGTGCTCTTGGTTTTCTTTCCTGCTGTTACTGCTCCTGAGAGGTTTTTATTTTAAGACAGACTCCAAATGCCGAAAGCTATTTTATGTTCAGTAGGAACCCCCAAATACAGCATTCCTCAATTACAAACTGGCTGACAAGGTTGAACCAGAAAGTATATAATGTAGTTCCTAAGATAATGATAGTTCCTAAGATAATCTGACTTCCCATAAAATGAGTCTGTATCCAAATTTCCCTGTTAAATTTTCATCATAAACATAACTCTCAGTGGTTTTGCTCTTAGGATTTTGAAAGGTTTCTGTTAGGGATTATTTTGCTTCCTTAATATCTACTGTGTTGTAAACAACACAGGCCTTGGGGGGCGGCATTTTGACTGCATGGGCCTTGCTTTCAATTGCACAGGCACTGGGGCACGCACAGCCTCTGCATCCACTTTGTGTTTTGCTCCCCGCTTTGTGTTTTGCTCCCCGGTGTGGTAGGGGCACCCTTTGAGGTTTTAGTGAGCTAACACTGTTTTGATTTTCAGGGCCCGTGTTTGTGATGAGTTGCCTTGAGGTAACTGGAGACTCCCCAGAGCGCAGGTCTCCAGATTGATTTGTGTGCTAAAATGGGTCACAGTTGCATGTCGCTGTTGCTTCTGAGAGTAACTTGACTACATTAGTATTAAGGTTGTTTTATTCTTGGGCAGAGTAATGCACTGATACAGCCACCATCCTGACAGGTGTAGCACTTTGGCCTGAGGTCTCCCTCGATCAAGGTGGGGAATAGCTGCCTATCGGAAGAAAGCAGTTACCTGGACAGGCAAGGTGGGGTTCCCCCCACCCCCGTCTTTTGACAGAACACTTAATCTCTTACTAAACACCTGTGCTGTGTGCATTCTGGTTTTGTACTCCTGCCTTCTGACTCTGACACCATCTGTCTCCCAAGTTGGCCCTTTCTCCTGAGACTTTTCTTCTTTAAGCTGTAATTTTGGAATTGTTTTCTTTCTTAAGCTGTAATTTTGGAAGTTCAAAAGGTGTTAGAGAGCTGTCTCCCGGGTATAATTTGGAGGTGACAGCAAGCCCAGGTTGTCATGTCTGACTCTTATTTTCATGGACCAAGGGAATTAGGGTTAGAAGGAAAAGCGAATTGTTTTAAGTTTATTCGAGAAGTAGATAATAGACTCAGACTTGGAAGCCAGGTCTCCTCATTTCCAAATTAGTGTTGTTCTAGAATTTATCATGCATCTTGACCTCTGTTATGTTGCTCTCTGATTGTTTCATTTTACTTAAAATTCCCACTTGGTTCCTAAGACTCTGTGGCTTCCTCCCCCCCCCTCCACCCTGCTCCCCTCTGATCTCTTCTTGTGCTGGCACTTGAGGCTTCCTCCACCCGCTGAGTGCCGCATTCCCTGTGGTCCACTCCCCTGGCTCCGTCCTGCCCCTCACACAGAGGGCCTGTGTGTGCCTCTAGCACCAGTTCTCTCTCTGCGATCCAGTTCTAGGTTGAGCTCTTTAGCTCTGGTTGTTCTCGAGACAGACCCCTGGCTCCGATCGCTCTCCTGAATGAGCCTGTCTGTCTGCAGCATACTAAACCTAGACAGGTCTGAAAGTGGA